GCTGAACATTAGTAGTCAAACATTAATAGAACATTAGTAGAAAATTGGATCGGCTCTTCAACGCGGGTTTTAAAAATAAAATAAAATGATATTAACCTTAGCCCAGTGGTTTGTTTAAGTCTAACTTTATATATTTGCCTCTGTGATATTTAAAATTATCATAATTAAAAATATTGAATTGCGCAGCTTTTTTAATACTCAGGTGACATATTACCAAGTATTTTTTAATAATTGCTTTTTGTTCACCAGTTAAAAAAAGCATTTTCTACGCACACGCTATAATATTAGTAAATTTAAAATTTTGAAACAATATTCAATACATAAAGATCACATGATATAATGATAATTTTATATACAGAAATATTTACTAAAAATTTTACACTTTAAGTCAATCCATAAACTTTTAAATTGAAAAATACTTTTTCGTATTTTCTTATCAAATATTATATAGTTTTTCCTTTTAAATAACAAATCCAAAATTTAATGTTTATTTATATACTTCATTGAGCTCAGAAAAATGGTAATTAATTAATGCTGTTTACTATTCTAGCAAAAAGCAAAATTTATTATTATTATTATACTATGGAAAAAAATTAAATCATATTAAGTTTTCAAGAAGAAGATTCATATAATCAAATTAAGAATTAATTTTAAGACAAACTGGGGTATATGGGGTATCTATTTAGAAATTTGATACCCCTTATCCCCCTTCTAATACTTGGTTTGCCGTGACGAAATAACACTACAGTAATTGGGTGAGAAACTAAGCATAAACTGTGGTTGAATTCCTTGCTTTGAAAATCAAAATCATTCAACATTTTGTAATTTTATTAACTAGTTTGATGATTTTTGTACAATTTCTACAGTACTACTAACTTAACAGAGGTACATGAGCAGTTATTTTTAGTATTCAATTGCAGATTTACGTATATGCCAGATAAGGCCCCGAAAACTACAAGGACCCCAATAATAAAATGTCTTTTTTGAAAAGGAAAAAAAAAACTCTGCTTAAAGTTGTTCAAAATTTGCAAGGGTCCCGAAACTCAAAATACATTTTTTCACATTACTTAGCGCTACATAGTCAAATCCTAGTCATAATCTGCAAAAATCAACAAAAATGGTTCTTCCCCAAGTTTTGTAAATTATTTCTCAAATTGTTGCCACTTCCAGCTTTTTTTTGGTGCTAAGTTTCAAGTACCGCCCTTGTTTGCAAATGCAAGCGTTTACTGAATTCGTTGAGGTTTCAGATTGGAATTCGAACTAAGAACAAGAATTTTTTTAATTAAAACTTTTTTCGCCCTTTTAGTCACTATTATCTACATGCGATTTATAAATATTCAGCAATTTTTTGCAGTTGCTCAAATTTTTATAAGAACATAAATGACTTGAAGAATCCAGTCTCTGCTCGTTTCGCTCGCCAACCCCTGCAATTGTTTCTCATTCATTTTTCCCCTTAAACGCTATTTCCCCCCTTTTCCACAAAAATAATGAGAATTTTGTCTATAAAATATACAATTATTGTAGTTTTATGTAAGAACATTTTGTCAATATGTTTATGGTAACGAAATGGACGATTACCTGCTGTATTCGAAAAATAATCAAGAAATTAAAAAAAAGAAAAAAAAATTACTTACTTAATCGAAAGAAAGAAATAAGAAGTGATTTTACATATAAGTGAGATTGAGAGCAGTTCTTGTTCGAAAATGTTTTGTATCTATCTTGTAATATTTTTTTAAACTTAAAAGCCATTAACGATTAAGAGACATCAATTAACAACCCATTAAAAGACGCTGAACAATTAAATTGTGATTATTTTTGGTTTTTAATTCAGTTAAAAATAACCAGTACCTATTAATAATAGCCATTTTTAATTAATAATAATAGGATTAATTTGGATCATAATAATGCAGGAATGTTTGTCCGATGTACACTTGCTTGGAATTCCTTACAGGTATGAATTTTTAAGGCCATTGGGGTGACATTTGATTGGTGTTCCTTAATGTGTTCCACGCATAAGTATTTTTAAAATTACAAAGTCAGAGCCTGATATACTTTTTCCCCTGTTTCCAGCACAACTGTGTTTTAAGGTAAAATGTCACTGTTCGGTATTCCCTACTTTGATTTTCAAGGTTACGTGGGATTGCTCGATACTCACTAAACTAATTTTTTTTTCTATAGGTTAAAGCAAAATTTGTTTGTCATAAAATATTTGATGCATTGAATAAAAAAATATTTTTTTTAATTATGAATTTAGTGGAAGAAAAATAAATGAAAAATAATACGTTTATATTTCCACGATTTAAATTTCTTAGGCGATAAAATGGATTAAGGTGGCTCAACTAAATTAATCCTGATTTATTAAAATTGCAGGATAAAAGAATAAATTGGCAAATGTTTGGTAAATGTTCGCAATGTTCGAATGGGAAAAAAATTATAAATGTTCGAGAGAACGGGAGATCAGATCCAGTCAGTCGATGAATCCCCATGCATAAAATGGTGACTGGTGTACATTAAATCTTTTGGGGTCGCAAAGTCCTCCAAGCTCCCGCAACAAATAAGTGACTCAGGAGTACTGATCAAGAAGTTGCCTTATCTTCTGGATTGTGTACATCAATATTCAAATCCTATAATAGGCGAGTATTTTGAGAAGAAATGGTAAATAATTAGCATAGATAAATATCTTTAAATTAGAGATAAATAAATATTTTGCATGTAAACAGTATTTTTATGATATTTATCATTCTCTTAAATATTAATTTTTTTTTTTTGAAAAAAGAGATCATTTTGTTTACAAAGTAGGAAATTATTACAATTTTGGGTGCGAGCATTTTTTTAATTTTTAAAAAAAATTATAAATGAATCTTACATGTAAATACCTTTAAATTTGAGATAATGAAATAATTTTTTGGTAAACAGTACCTTTATCATTATTTTTTTTTCTTTAAAGTCAGCATTTGAAAAAAAACACATTTTGTTTATAAAATATATAATTATTATAATTTCGTGTAAAGACATTTTGTTAATATTTAAGAAAAATGATAAATGAATATTACAGGTAAATACCTTTAAATAAAATAGATAGAGAAATATTTTAGACGGGTTCTTTATTCATTAAATTATATACTGATTACCACCAAAACTTTGAATCTTCATGAGGTAAAACTGGATCATTCCATTTAAATTTCTAGCCAATAAGAATGTGCCAATAACATGGAAAGCTGTTTTTATGCCATAAGGTTTTGATATCACAATGCCAGATTAAAAAAACATAGAAAATTTTACAGTTTTTTTTATTTTCTTCAACTTTTAATTATTTGATTTTTCTGGTAAGTCTTGAAAATGGTCACCTATTTTTGAAAGCTTGAAACATTTTGACTGTTATTTCATATTTGCATGTTTTTGAAACAAATGAAGTAGTTAAATAAGCAATGTCTTTCCACTTCAGTTTTTTCGGATTATTTATTTGAAAGAGAGGAATATTTAACTGAACATCTTTAAAATTATTTCACATGAAGCATTAAAATTAATATACGAAAATAAAGAAAGCAGAGAGAACCAAATAAAAAACAATTGCATCCCGACTGTTATTCTTATTTCAGCAATAAAAATGTATAAAAATTACAATTTGGCTTTGAAAATAACAATGGAGAAGATCTCGTGTTTTCCCCCAATTTAATACAATATTGCTCTCGGGAAAGCACATATATCAGGTTCTTTCAAGCAATTAAATTAAATTGGTGAATGTTGTCAATTATTTTTATACCTTCCGCCTTTCTCAATCAAGAGCATTCACCCTATATTGACCAATTTGTCTAGTTACTTACTTGTATGAGCCAACATCAGGTTTAATGAAAATAAAGAAACACATATGTCATATTTATAAGGATATTGAAAAGACAGAGTTGAATTCATGACGTATGTAAACATAGCTTTGAAATGAAACTTAATCTTACAAAAATTTTATTTTTATACACATGCCCTTTTCGCATCTTTCTGAATTTTGAAGATTAAATACCGAAAAATGAATTTAATTTTAGATTTCAAATAACGTTTAGTTAACTTAGTTTAATGAAACTTAGGTTTAGAAAAAAGTTAAGCTTCCTTAAGTTTTCATTCTCATACAGAAATTCATCATTTTTCTAAGCACTCAAAATTTCCTTATTAATAAATTTACGTATAAAGATAAAAACAAATCATAAAATAGCTTCGCATAGCAATTTATTCATGAAATCCATTGATTGAGTTAGATTCATTTGTTAGAGAATCACGATGAGAACCATTAAACCAGTATCAAATAATGTAAAACATGCTCTTTTATATCTCAGAAAATTATATAGATTATTGTGTTATTTTTACTTAAATTTTAAAAATATTATTTTTTTAACATTCCTTCAATGAAAGAGGAAGTGATTGATTTAAATCAAGTAATTATGTCTCATGTTTCGTTAAAATTTTAAAATATTTATGAAACACTTAATAATTGTGTGATCCAACGTATTAAAAAGGCTCTTTTTTATATTAAATTAGTAAATGCAGTAAAATGTTCACAATTTTATAAACTAATTCATGTGAAATATAAAAGCACAAGCAAAATTACATATTTCAATCTAACTCACTAAGCACTAGAAACTTGATTTTGGATTATGATTTCTTTAAAAAATATTAAGTTTACATAATTTCTTAAAAATTTTCAGACAAAAAAAAATTCTTAAGCAGTTTGTATATAAAGCAATTTCGATCGATATATTTTCAAAAGTCTTGCCCATTTTATTTTTTTTTAAAAGATTAAGAACCATAATATTTATTTTTTAAAAATATCTTAAAATCATACAATCTAATATTGTCGAAAAAATAACAACCAAATTAAAAAAATTATATGAAATTCGTAAAGGAAGAAAAACTTTCATATGATTAATTCTATATTTAAAATATTCGTTAAATATAAGTACATTAATAATTAATAAATAAATAAATAATATTTTTGAAAGCTTAATACATACCTCATTAATGTCCCATAAAACTATTTTAGCACCTAATTTAGCTAGATTAATGGCCACTTGACGGCCCATACCGTGCCCACCACCTGTGATAAGCACTACTTCATCTATAATATCTTTTCGATCTTTCGGCCAAACACTCAGCACCCATTCCCTAATTGTGATATATATAAAATTAAAAGTAAATTTCAATAAATCCAGCAAAACATCAGACCAATCTTCCGACTGAATTTCGTTGACTGTCATTTTTAACAGTCACCCAAATGTCTTCTTGCGACCACAGTTACAAACCAAGTGCAGTCATTGAGATGAAACAATTGTCGGAGAAAATTCGATAAACCTTATCTCGATAAGCCTGATAACTTGAGGAAAACACAGCTGGTGAGTAAATTACCCTGATTTCGAAGATTGCATTCACGACAGCGAGTTAGTTACTCCCGAGCTTGCTGTGTAGAAATCACAAGGAAGTATCTAACGAAAAGGAATATCCCTAATCTTGGTATTGGAGGTAGTGAACCGAAACACATAATTATGCGCAACTTTTCACGAAGAATTATGGAAAAAAATAAATAAAATAAAACAAACACCTTGAACTTAGCCTTATACATCTCTTATTAACAATATTTTACAATTCTTTTGACATCGTTTTATTCGTGATTATAAGGTTTAAAAAGCTTCAAATTAACGAAGCTAATTGTGAATAAAATTGTTTACTTTTTCTCAGTAATAAATTCTAATTGAGCATTCGCAATCGTTTGCAGTTTTGTTGCACAATAAGAGATATACTGAATGAGGACAAGCATTATGGAATTCTTTAAACACAAATAAAATACTAAGGAATTTCAATAAACTGTAATCATTAAAAAAGATCTGAATAAATTGTCGAAATCATAAAAGAAATGAATTGTTTAATATTTACATATTTTAATTTACGTTTTTATATATTTTGATTTCATACCACTGTATTACTTATTTTTACTTAATTATGCACTTATATATTTAACTTATATATGTATTTACATTTTAAAATTTTAACTTTAATTATGTATTAATATGTTTTGACGTATTTATATAATCTCTTAAGTCTCAGCATTCAATATGTAGGACGACATTTAGTAAAAATTTTACCATTTAAAAAATAATATTTTAGGATTTTTTTTAGTTTTTAGATTATATGCCCTTACAATGATATAAATTATTAACTTGTTCTTTATGTACGTTACTATATTTTGGGCAGATAAACCTACTAGGGGTTAGCTTTCAATATATTAAACAATATTTGGTACGATTTCATCCCTTAAAAAGTAATATTTTATTATTTCCTTTTATTTCCTATTAATGTGCTTTAACAAAGTGATTGGTTTTCACTCGTTAATAGGAATATTTAATTACAATAAAAAATTCCGAGTGAGATAAAATTAAAACTTGATTTTAGTGGCCTTTTTAAAACAATACGCTTACTGAGAAAACATTATTCTATATTTATTAGGAAATACTGATTATTAAATTATTAATTCTTTTAATAAAATCAATATTTAATCACTCGCTGATAATCAGGTAGATCTAATTATTCAATTAGTGCAAGTTTTGTATGGAAACAAAACTTGCACCATTTAAAAATTTGATTGCTATCTTTCAAAGTATGCTAACAGTTTTTTTATGAAAAAAAATTAAGAATTCTGAATGAAAGGAAAATACTGTTCGTTAAATTTATCTTTCAGTATGAAGAGAATGTTACGCTTGCATATAATATTGCGTCCCCCCCCTTCTATTTTATGCATTTTTAAATATTTTCTCAGACTTTTTTAATTGAAAGTAAAAATAATGCATAATTTAATTATAGCGATGTTTATATATTATAATTATGAGTATACTACACAGTAATGATAATTTTAAATCTTGATTATACATTGTTATAGTTTGATAGCATTAATTCATTACGGGTTTTTTTCGCAACAGTAAATAAAACTATTTTTAAAGTTTGATTAAAACTAACTTTACTTACAAACGTATAATTCATGATATGAATCGTATAATTAATCGTATAATAAATCGTATAATTAATCGTATAATAAATCGCATAATTTAAAACGTATAATTAATAATAATTCAATTTATTAAATAATAATGCAATTATTTAAATAATTTATGATGATTAATTACAAGCCAAAATAATCCAATTTTTTAATTTATTATTATTTACTGACCTTTCCGATGACTTTACGTTGTTAAATTAAGCGAAACACATTTTTAAAGAAGCTCAATTTAACAAAATAAAGATTTAACAATACATAACTACTGATATGCTTCATTTGGCATGCTGCTATTGATCAAACAGGCCAACGCTCCAAGGCATTATAGTAAAAATTTACCATAAACTAATTTCTCCATTAATTTTACTGTTAAGAAAAATAACTTTTGTTTTTTTGTTTCAATCACAGTTCACTTTAAAATATTTAGTCTCATAGAAATGTTACAAAAGCGTAACTATAAACAAATAAACACGACACAGGGTTTTAGATGTTACCTTGCGCTAAAATTCCATATACGAGTATGTTGTTCCTTGAGTTTAACTTATGAAGCAAACCAAAGAAATCTTCATTGTTAAAGACCTGCAATAAACTTTTTTTTAATTAAATCTAAAATCCTATTTTTAGATTTTCTTCAAAAAATCCTCCAAATTTCCAATTTTTTTTTAGAAAATGACTTAATTATAATTATTGAATATTATTTTTCTTAATTTATCTTGTAAAAATTTACCCACTGTTCAGTGTTCTCAAATTTGTCTTGTTTGTTATATTTTCTTTTAAATTTTATTCCGATTAACGATAACTTATTTAAATATCACGATGGTATAAGTCATTTAAAATGGTGAGTGCACTGCCCAGCCTATCCTATATACACACAGAAGCTTCCTTTCCTTAAATTGCATGCAGGGGCAGAGTTTCACCGCCCGCCTGCTGCATATTTAAAAATTTTACTGGATTTTTTGCAAATGTTTTTATTTTTACCGATTTAAACTTGGATTTTCAGAGTTCCCAGGGCCAAAGGGCTAACTACTAATTAACATAAGGGAAGAGGGGGGGCTAGATAAATACGCAAGCGTAGTACATATAATAAATAATAACATTGTAATAAAACGAAAAAAAAGGCGTTAAAATAAACGCAGTCTGGGTTAAATAACGAAAAATACACGATAAAAAAAAAAGAATAATGATAGTATAAACACGTTGAGAATTATAAAATATTTACAGATTAAGAAGTTATGTACATATATACAACGAAAATGGGCTGATGCTCGAAGAGCGAAGGGATGCTGAGGAGCGCTACTCTTGAATCCCTGCATCACTCCCTCGCCTACCCCCCCACCCCCCGAAGGGCTTTTCAGGTCAGAGTGATGCAGTTCTTCTTGAGTAATAAAGTGTGGTTTACTTTAGTTAAAATATTTAGATCATATTCCGTCACTAATGAAAAATGCGGTAGCGGGGCTAAATTTCGCGTTATCATTTATAAGTTGGAAATCGAAAATATTGTTAAAGTTGCATGCAGAACATTTTGTAGCATCTTTGAAAAAGGATGCGTTTAGCCGTTGGAGATAATCTTCTAATTGATCAATTTTTAAGTCTTCGTAAATAGTTTTGTTACTAACGTACCAGGGCGCACCTGTTATATATCTAAGTATTTTATTTTGGAAGGTGTTGAGCTTTTTGATTTGAGTTTTAGTAAGAGTTTCCCATGCTGGGAAGGCTTAAGTTAATATGGGTCTGATGCACATTAAATAGATTGTTCTTTTAGTTGTTAAGCCCATTTTTGAATTAGATGATAAAATTGGTCTAAGGGAATGATGAGCAGCATTTGCTTTTTTGATGATATCGTTGATATGGATATTCCAGTTAAACGTGTTAGTCAAAGTAACTCCTAAGTATTTGGAGCTGTTAACGATGGGGATATTTTCATTGAATAATTTTATATTAGTATTATTATCGCAGGCTTTCTTCTTATTTTTGTCAAGTATTTTGATTAAATACTTTTAAAATTTTAATATTACTGGTAGATTTTTTTTCTCTTTTAAAAATTAGTGCGTGAATTAAAATAATGCGTCTAGCAAATTCGATTCGAAATATAGTACATTTTATTGTTTGAAACGCATACACAACACAATTGATTCATATGCACAACTTATTTTGATTGCGTGCAAGGCTTAAATATGTTTGTTTCTGTCTTGTAAACTTAGTTTCTGTTTCATTGAAGCAGAGAAAATTCAAGTTACGCCTACTTTTCTAACCGTAGATTCGCAATTACAATAAGCAGAACTGTTTTATTTTATTCATGTTTCAAATATATCATCGTATAATTCTTATGTATTTTCATATATGTTAATCAATTTACATGTAACTGTGGTTTAAAATCATTTATATTTAACTAGAAATCCAAGAAACAAATAGGAAGCATAAAATTTACTGTCACGTTAAATGTAAAAATAAAATTTGCCGCAAAATGTGTATAAGTTGGCGGTTATACTGTTCACATTTTCTTCTAATTCTAATCATTGTCTACATCTCCGCACCTGTCGCCTCTGACTAATCAATCTATCGGTGGATGCTAAATTTTATATCTAAATTGTCGTACCTATATATGTAGTTGGAGAAGGGGGTTGTTGACAACAGATTTGCTCGTGTCATGCTGATGTTTAGTGCTTGTATATAGTACTAAGAATAGGTAGGTAGATACTTTATTTACGTCGCACTAGAGCTGCACAATGGGCAATTTGCGACGGTCTTGGAAACATACCCTGAGGATGATCCGTAGACATGCCATTGTAATTCTGGGTGGCTCCCCTGCTTTGGTAGCCCGACGACCAGTGCGAAGTCGATCACTTTACGGTAGAACAATTTTACTAGGACCGACACCGTGCACCCTCGGTCCCTACACAGGCTGATCAAAGTGGTAAACCTCCCGCTTACTGACTGCAGCCAGTGATGCTTGAAATCAGTGTTCTACTGGGAATCTACTGGGAAACTATTTAGTTTAAAATTAGCTAAATAGTTAAAATTCCTAGTCGTTACAGGTTTAGAAATTGATATTTTCTTTTCAATTGGTTTGGACAAATTTTTGCCAAAATCAAAATTCTTTTGAACCAAAAAATTTTAGTAAAGTTTCTTCTAATTGAAAAGATAATGAAAAGAAAACTACAGAATAGAATTTTTTTCATTTTCTTAAATTAAAAATGAGAAGCTACAGTTATTTATACGAAATTAAAATGCATTTATTGGCACTAAATTATAAACATATAAATATATTTAATTTAAAAGTATTTTTATAATTTTTTTAGCAAAATTTGAATCAAAAGTATATATTACAATATGTAATTTAATGAATTTGAAATTAAAAGAAGCTATATAAATGTAAAATAAGTGTTTAATAGATGATTTACAAGTTTATAATGCTTTAAAAGAAGAAATGCGAAATATATGATCCCGTATCAGCGCTGGAGATCAAATTCCTGACCTCTAGGTTTGCAGACTCGAATTTAATTTACTTTTAATTTATTTCATTATCTGAAAAAAAAATCTTTACAGTTTACTTCAAGAAATGACATACTGTTGGTAGAATACATCTTAGAATAATCAGCGCGAATATTATTTACTTACTATTTAAATGAAGAAATTAAAGAGTGCGAGTCTTTGATTGTCATCTCAAGACTAAGAAAATTCCGTGAGAATTAGGATTACACCACTAACTAACGCCACGAGTTGAGAGTAGTAATGGTGAAGCGAAATTAATGGCTTTAAGAATAAACTCATCAAATAATTACTATTTACAATTATTTAAAATTCATACATTATTCGTTTAGATTAAATGCGGCATCAAAATTTAAGATGCAATAGCACAAAAAATAAAATAATAGAACAACAAGAAAAGTAATTCAAAAATGTAAGAATTAAATTTGAAGTAAAAGCAGAGTTCATAAATAATGATAAAAATAATTTAAAAATACAGAATATGCGCTTGACGTCACGCCACTTCGTTACTAAAATCACTAAAGGCTAGAGTCCCTGAATTAGAGAGGCCGACTTATCATCCATTTCGGAGCAAAAGGTTTTTCCTTAATAATGAAGAGCTACCAGATTTGACAACTTATCGCTACAAACGTCGTTAGCCTCACATATAGGATAATCAGTAAAGAAAACTGTGCATCGATTAACATTGTTTTTTGGAAACCTTTTTTTATGCTAATACAAATTTATTGTAAATTTTATTACCGGTTAAAAGTTTTAAATAAAAAAATTGTGTATGTGCTACATGTCAATTACATCTATCTTTTTTATAAATGATTTCAAAGTGAATTTGGCACAAAATTTTATATTTCGGTTAGATCTCGATCTTTTATAATTTTTTTCCAAATTTTTTTAACAAAATTAAAATAGAACGAAACATGTTTCGGCCACAAATATTTTTAAGTATGTTTTTACAATCGAAATAATTAAATTTATAATGCAATATTCTAAATGTAAATGTTTACAATCATGAGAAGTAATAAATTTTGTTTCAAAATCAAGAATTAATTTGAAATTAATTTCTTCAATTGAGACATTGAATTTTCTTTAAAACATAAAAGGACAAGACAAATTAAGATTTTTAGCCATTATTATTATTATATAAATAGAATTAATAGAATAAATAGAAACTAGAGTTTTATGGGGAGGGGAAGAAACGACGCATGATAAATTTTTAAAGAATTTATTTGAATAAATATCTTATTTCAAATCACATTTTCATAACATATATTTAAATAAGTAATACATATATAAGGAATACAATTTTTAAAAAATATATCTATATATTATTTATTACTAGATAGAAATAGCTTTTATATACATTTTCGATTCTTTAAGAATAAAAAAATTTTAAACAACTGAGCAAATGGAGAGGAATTAGTAAATTTGTACTTGGATTAGACTTAAGCTTATTTAAAATTGATCCAGGTTTTGGACAGCCTATTCCTTTCAGTCTTTTTTAAGGAATTTGGAGCATTGAAAATTATTGGAATAACATCAGGTCTCAATTTATTGTTACCATCTTTTCTATTTATTTCTAGTTTAGATTCTTCAAAATGAACCTGCAAAAATATTTATAATACTTTTTTTTATTTTCATACTTAAATTAAATCACATTAAAAAAATTTAGAGTTTACAATTTTTAAATATACTTCCATGAGATTTTCTAACACAGAAACTAATTATTTCAACAATTTAACACAAGAATTTCAAGGAAGAAAGAAACATTGATAGATCCAAAAATATCTGAAAAATCGCATATTAAATAGATTGAATAGATCATGTTGAATAGATTTTTAATGATAAATGTAAACAAATAGTTTGAACTTTTGGCGATATATTACCATAAATAACTGAAAAACAAACTTAAATGAGACAGGATTAAAAAAGTACCTACTTGATCTTAGTGAAATAAAAAAATAGATAAATATTTGCTTTTAACAAAGAGAAAAAGTGAATACAAAACTTTGCAATTCTGAGATAAGTTTGGCGAATACTTATTCAACCAATCTCTTGCCTTTATTTATTGGTTTCATTGCTCATAAACACTTAAAATTGTTAAATAAATTAATAAATGCTGTTTAAAAGTCATATTTTATATAAATATATACTTAATAAATGCAATTTTTAATGAAAATTCCTATATTTGGTACATAGTTAAAACTGTAAAATTCAAGTAAACCCGAAAGTTATTAATTTTTTTTTTTAAAGAAAATAGACGAAAACAAGCATTCAAAAACAAATTCTAACAACTTAATATCGTTTATATATTACATAAATCTAATAAGTTATAAATAAATGAGTATTTACCTCACATAAGCGAGTTCTACTTCCTGGCTGAAAGGAACTTGTCTGCTCCAAAATGGCGGATAGTTCCAGGAGCCTTACTAAAGGTCGACTTATCAGCCATTTCGGAACAAAAGCTTTTCCGCCAATAATGAAGAGCTGCAAGATCTGGCAAAGTATCGCTACGAATGATGTATACCTCAACGATAAGATAATCAGTAAAGAAAAGAATGCAGCGATGAACATTGTTTTTCGAAAACTTTTTTTTATGCTTATACAAATTCACTGCAAATTTTATTACCGGTTAAAAATTTTAAATAAAAAATTGTGTATTTGCTACATGCCAATTACGTCAATCTTTTTTATAATTGATTTCAAAGCAAATTTGACACTAAATTTTTTATTTTTGATTGATCTGGGTTTCTCCCATTTCTTTTCAGATTTTTTTCAACAAAATTAAAATAGAAAAAAACACATGTTTTGAACTGAAATATTTTTAAACATGTTCTTATAATCATAATAATTAAATTTATTCTGTTATCACCTTTTCTATTTATTTCTAGTTGAGAGATTCTTCGAAATGAAAAATATTTAGAATATTTTTTTAATTTCATAATTGGCGATCGAAATGGGCTGCAGGTGGCGTAGAGCAGAACTCTTTTCCTATGGCAACACTTCACATGCTTTCCCCATTAGCGTGTGGAAAGTCATAGAGGAAGGAAGTACGTTAGTTTCTCTCTGGATTTTCATATAGATTAAAATCTTTTAACTTGAGAAACTATATGGAACTGAAAACTAGATTAAACATAGTTCTAAGGAAAAGCATCATGGAAATTTTAAGAAATATTTTTATTATATAAAAAGGAAAAATATTAAGAAAAGGGAAAATATCGTAGTACATTCCTATACAACTAAAAAAAGGAGGAGAGGGAAGGGAGAAGGGCTAAAGGCATGAAACCGGTCTCTCCCCAGATGGCGTATTCGAGTGTTGCGATCGCGAATTAAAACAAATCACATTAAAAAAAAATTGGAGTTCACGATTTTTAAACATACTCCCATGAAACTTTCTAACAGATAAACTAATTATTTCTGCAATTTAACACAAGAATTACAAAAAATAACATTGATAGATCCAAAAATATATGAAAGATCGCATATTAAATACATTTTGGATAAATGTAAGCAAACCATTTAAACTTTAGACGATATATTATCATAAATAACTTGTAAGGGAAGGTTTTCTATCTTCCTACTATGTGCGATTTTGGATAGATAAAAACAAAGTAAATTGGAGATATCACAACATTTAATATACACAGTTATTTACAAGTTAATATAAAATATATAAATCCATTAATACTTTTTACATCCCAATGTCTGGAACGTCAAGATAGTAGTTATAAAATAAAAACAAAGCGTTGCTAAGACAACTCAATAATTATTGAGTTGTTTTAGCAACGCGTTGTTTTTATTTTTTATAAAACTAAATTTAAATGCTTGTTACGTTATTGCTCTTGCGCACCACAAACTAATAAACAAACTTAAATGATCCAGGATTCAGAAACTAACTACTTAATCTTTGGGAAATAAAAAGGAACACAATAAAAGCAGGAAGATATTTGTTTTTAACAAAAAAAAGTACTTAAAAATGAACACAAGCTTGGCGATTCTGAAATAAGCTTGCGAATACTTATTCAGTCAATCTCTAGCCTTCATTTATTGGTTTCATTGCAGATAAACACTTAAAATTGTCAAATATGATAATAAATTTTGTTTACAAATCATATTTTATTATACTTAATGAGTGCAATTTTCAATGGAAATTCCTATATTTGGTACATAGTTAAAATTGTACAATTCAAGTAAACCTGAAAGTTATTCACTTATTTTTTTTAAATAAAATAGACGAAAACAAGCATTCAAAAACAAATTCTAACAACTTAATGTCGTTTATATACTACATATATAAATAAATGAATCTAATAAGTTATAAATAAAGGAGTATTTACATCACATAAGCGAGTTATTCCTGGAATTCCTGGCTGCAGTAGTATGTTCTGCAATTTATTAAGCATTTCGTCTTTCTTTTAGATTTGAAGGAAATCAGAACATTTGGAAGCCTATTTTAGAACTGTTTGTACAATTTACAGCCGCATAACCACCCATATCAATAATTTCAAATATCCAAATAGCCTTTAAACTCTCAAGCTAATACTAACATAGCGTAACTTGAGAACTTGTCTGCTCCATAATGGCGGATAGTTCAGTTCTCATAGCATAGAAGCTTTAGTTAAAAACGCGTCGCTTGTCGGAACTATTATAGTGTGAGTAGTTTCTCCTCCTTCTCCTGTATCTCTGCCATCTCCTTTTCTACAAGTAGTGATGTCCTTTCCGACAAATAGCGTGATCCGGTCACTTTGAAATTTAATCGCTCGTGCATGAATCACGTCTAGAAAGAACGTTCCCTAATCTCTTTCATTTTTATGAATTAAAAACTTCGGTACTGCGCTTTTAGCTTACATGGGTTATGCTTAAATAGAGGATACAGTATCCGTCCTTGATTTGATTAAATTTATCACATTTCTGTAGCAGAATGGCACCAGGTTTGCCTATTGGATGGAAGAGTTCATTTTTCGTCTTTATAGTTTATAGGATTGGGATGCGGTCATTAAATTTCTTAAATTTTAAATTATGAACGAATTTTTTCACCAAAGTAAATTCCATTTAGTTATGTAGAAATTGTGCTCCGCTATTATTATTCTTACTTTTTAGTTTTTCTTTATAGAAAATAAGGAAAAATACGTTCATAAGTTAGTATATTCTCTCCGCTTTCAAATTAAAATTTCAGTTTTGTTATTCATGTTATGACATTGTTATTGTTTTTAATCTTGCAAAATGCATTTTGAATTTTCTTTGAAACATTTGAAATTAAATTTAGTGCGTTTTATGATACATTTAATTATTTTGCTCGTTAATTGTTATTGTTACCTTGTAAATGCAAATTTTGACACTTACAAAGAATTAATCTTTTTATAACCTTTAATAAATTGTCTTTCAGTTTTTGAAAACAATACCAAATATTTTACAATTTTAAAATAAATTTTAATTTCAGAGACTCATTCATTTTACTGTTAAATTTTGAGTTTTTTTTTCCCTCACGCTTACTGTTTATAAATTGCTGTTTTGACATGAACTTTTAACTAACGATCAATCTATACTTTAAAAATATAAAGCATGTTCTAACTTGAATCATATAAAAGTTTATATTTGTAGTAAAAGTGCTATGTCTGTTTAAAACTAAGGTTTTTATTTAAACTACTCTATGTGATGCATTTTTACGTTATATATATATTTGCTTTAGGAACTGTGTCTTTGATTTTTAATAAATTAGTAAATATTTCGAGTTCAGTCATGGAAACCAGTTACATACTGTAGATACAGTTTGTATAAATAAGTAATTGAAAGTAAGAAAGAGAAGTCTAGTTAGTATATATAAGAATTTGTTAGTGAAGTGCTTGTATACAATTTTTAAGTTAATATTGATCATTTAAGAAACTTCAGATTTTGGTCAAAATAAGAATGAATCAATAATGAAATAGTTGTAGATCAAACTAAATCCTGAAACAATTGGGCAGTTCTGCAACACAAATTTTTTTGATCTTGTTCCAAATTTCTTCAACTTTTGAAGCATGAACAATGAATTTGAGGAATCCAATTCATAGTTTCCGTATGACGTCATTATTTATTTAATAATGCTTTTATATCAATATTTGAAATCTCTCAGGGAAGCAAACTATAATTAAAAAAAATTAAAGACTTAAAGAATGATAAAATACATTTTACAATTTTGAAAAACGTAAGGAGCATTCATTCTTAATCTAATTTGATCATTTTGCCTAAAATGCATCAGTCAAATTCTGTTTTTTAATATATATTTAATATGAATTTTTATATTGATGGAAAAGCAATAATAAAAAATACTGTCAGAGAAGAGTTGGAAAATAATTGGTAAAGTGAAAAGAACATTTAACATGTATCAAGACATTTTAATTCATCAAAAATTAATTTGCTGATAACAAAAGAAAAAAAGGATAGAATATCTCTACTTTCTCTTTGTCTGTTTTCAAACTGACAAAGCGAGCTTTTAATTCTTCAAGTCTGGGAATTGTCCCATTTTCCCCAAGTTTTGTCTATAAATTTTTGTCTGCTAGAAATTTTCTTGTTTAAATTAATTGCATTAAGAGTGACTGTCAAAGAAACTTATTTTTGATATGATGAAGTTTCTTAGTCTTAATCCTGACGATTATTAATAATAACATATTAAATTCCTATTAATAAATAAAAATTTATTTTGTTGACAATTTTGCTACTTTGTACAGCAACACAATCTTAAAAAAAGAAATATTACTCTCTCTTTGAGCAACAATTGCTATCTAACACCACTCTTGTTAGGGGTTGAGATAGTGATCTTCTTCCGTTTTTCCTGTTTTATTTATTTTCAAATTAAAATCTTGTGATTTTGCTATTTTGAACTTGTAATATCATTTAAGGTTGATATAATATTACTGATTTTTTTTTCCTGTTATTAGTTTCTACATTTAGTCAAATGTATGGTTGATAAAATGAAATTCATCAGGATTCATTGTTTTCTGGATTTTTATGATAATTTTTTTTCCTTTTTTTTTAGCTTTTTATCCTAATGTTTCTGATTTTTGTGTTTGTTATTTCTACAAATACAAAGGTGGATTTTAAAATAGATTTGAAGAATAAAAGGATTTGGATTTTCGATCAAAAATTTTTGTAAATTAAAAATTGTTAAAACTTTTTGGAATTTCAGTCATTTTATAAGAAACTCAGTATCAAATTTTTACGGTAATGAATTCTTTGCCCGTATGTTAATTTATTTTCCTTAAATTCGGTAATACATCTTGTAGTATTTATTACAATTATTGATTAGGCTCTCTAACCTGATTTTAAAAATGATAGATTCCGATCATCAAAATAGTAATTATATCATAGTATTTTTAGTGAGTGAACAAAGGGATAATTCACTACTTTTATACAAAAATACTAACCCATATATTTATTGTTTTCAATTTGAAATTATTGAAACCTTACTGTAATATTTGGTTAAAGTCTTTAACTTGATTGCTTATGTTATTGAATATTCATATTGACAAATTGATACTGGCTGTTTTTTTAATACTACAATATAAAAATTTTCACTATCAGGGTCAGTCCAGACATTTTGTGAAAGGTCCGTTTTTGTAAAATTGTGAAAAAATTACTCGTAATTTGTGAATATAAAATAAACGTTAAGTCACATTCTTTCAACCAGGGTCCGCTTTTGTGAATTTGTGCAAATAGGGTCCGTTATTGCAAAAAAACTTTTTCAAGGAGTTTTTAAATTGTAAAGACATACAAGATTATGCTTAACACTGTAAAATTATAATAAATAAAAAAAATTAAATTTTCGAAAATCAACAGCAATTGCTGCAACTAAATGAGAGGGGCAACATACAAATATTTCGTATTTAGCCTTTACTGCTGAACGCAGAATATTTATTTCGGAAAGAATAAAGGAAGAAGCGTCTGCCGAAGACAAAACTTAGTTTGTTTACATCTGTCTTTCTCTCCCCCCTGGGAAGGTTTTATTCGATTAGCAAAACAATAATGAAGATAAACAAATTTGTGAAGGGTCCGATTAAAAGATAAATTATTTTGTGAAGGGTCCGTTTTTAAGTTAAAATATTTTGTGAAGGGTCCGTTTTTATGAAAAGATATTTTGNTGAGATTTTTTAGGTCATCAAGTCCGTTTTTATGAAAAGATATTTTGTGAAGGGTCCGTTAACGGACCCAAATTTCTTCTAAACAGACCCCAGACTATATTGGGCTAAAGCCATTATTAATTATGAGTAATTCAGTGATCTATGAATGAAATTATACTCTTTATTCTAAACAAATTAAATATGATCTTTATTATTTTTTGGCCATAAAATTTGCCCCTTTTTTTCAAAGTAGAGAATTGTACCTCAGTAGTTAGTCCATTTTAAAAGTTGTCTGGTGTATACTGTAATACAGTTCCAAATATCTTAAATTCCATTGCAAGAAAAACAACCTTAACTTTAATTTGCTATTTTACTCTTTATAAGTCAAAGTTTGATTCAATAAGCTGTAAATTATTACCAATAATAGTTATTTTAAATAATTATATTTTTATAAATTTATTTGAATAAACAAGATTAAAAGTTAATCACATCTAGGCCTTATAATTCTTCAATTTATAGCAATAATATAATTGTCAGTATAATTAGTGTAATTTATTTTTCACTTACTAGCTTAATAAAGATTTGTTTATTTTTATATTTAAAGGTATGATTGAATTTTGTGATTACTGTAGTGTTATTTTTAACACTGAAGCTGAGCTGATTGCACATTGCAATTCTGAAGCTCATCAGTTGACTATTATGAGTGATGAAGGTAGAGAATGGAAATTCAGAGCACCACCAAGAGGTGTTGGAGCTGACCAATACTCAGTTTGTGTGGAGTAAGTTGTTGATTTTTTTTAACTTGTTAATTTACTAAAAATAATGTAATGTTTATTAAAATTGAACAGTATTTTTCCTTCAAATTAAAATATATAGCAAATTTTTTATGAGAGAAGGTACAAAATATTCTGTTAAGACATTTATTTTTTATTAGGCATTTGTAAATGAATTTTTGACATAATTTGGAAAAAAATGTGACCAGACTATTTTCCAGAGGAGACTTTAAAATTTTCCGGATGAGGGGGGGGGCTGACCATACCTGACAGGGGTGCAATTGACCCCCTACTGGCGGCGCCCTTGTGTCATAAACTGTCGAAATCTATCAAAAACCTGGGGCAAGTTTCTCTTTTGATATAGGAGATATTTTATTAAATACTGAATCAAGCACAATACTTTCATTGTGTACTTTTGTAATTATGAAAGAGGGAAAAAAAAATTTCTTTTTTTAGAAAAATTCTATGCTATAATATATGGGCCATTCTCATGGAAAATGAACTATAAATTTCTGAAAAATTCTCCAAAATAGCACTACATCTTGTTGATTGGTCAAAAAATAAGTTCAGTATTGAAATGTTTCTAGAGTGGCACCCATGATTGATCCATGTACACAAATTGCATTTTAAAATAGCAAACATATGTTTTGGTTTTAAATCATTGTGTTTGCTTACAAACTGTGGTCTTACTTAAGTTAATTTAAAAATATAAATGATACAAAGATGGATTTACTATGATAAAGTAAAAATTCTATGATAATTCTTAATATTTCTTTTAAAATTCTAGATATACTCTAGTTTTTTTTATTTTTTTTAATTAAATTTTAAATTAAATGTTTTCCTACATTTACTTCATTATTAATTCATAGAAAAAAATTAAATATTTTCATCACTTGTTTTAAATGTGTTTATGTGATTACATTTTTCTATGCAATTACTATTTAAAGCTATCTCTAAATTTTTATTTTTAAAGTTTTTCATCTCTGATCATTGATATATATTTAAATGTATGGTCTTATTTAAAAATTATCAACTTTAGTTCATTAGAGATGATTTTTTCCTAATTGGTTTAGGCAAAAGTTAATTGTGGCTCAGCTTAAAGTTATTAAAAAAACTAATGGAATATATGGATTTCAAAAACCACAAGTAGTTTTAAGGGTTACTTTAAATCTGAGTACCTGACATGAGGGACTGAGAATAAAAGCAAGATACTGAAAATGTAGTCTGGTACATGTAATTTCTTGTTACTCATAATATCCCTACTTTAAACACTCATACATCTATAGTTTAAGCACACCTACATATTATTTTCATTCTAGTAAGTCAAAACGTTTTACTTTTTTCTATTATGTTATGAATAAATTTGGAAAAACAATCTCATTTTTAAAGTTACGGATGAAATTTAACATATAGATTTCGCCTTTTTAGATTTGGATTGCGTGGAATGTGCAGGTTAAATAAGCTGTGTTGTGATGCTCATGGTGATGACGAATTATCTGAATGGAAAGAGCGGTTTGATTACAGACAAAAAAAGTTGCTACAAGCTAAAGAACGACGACTTCAAGGAAGGCACTATACTGAGCAACTTCTGGATAAATGGCTTACGGCCCCTAATCCAAATTCTATCATGTCAGAAGTTTCAGATGCCGTAGAAATAGCTTTTGAACCAGAATTGAATCTAACTGTATCAGAGAAAAATTGTTGCCGAGAATGGACTTTCCATATTTCTGCTAAAGTAAGTTGTTACAAAGGTTAAATTTTGAAGGGTGAAAGTAACTCTAAATTTAGCAGGGTTTTCGTGGGATCAGGAAAATCGAGAATAAGCCCAGTTTGACTTTTGGGGGGGGGGAATATCAAAATACAGTACAGAACCATTTATCCGGGACCAATATTTCTACAAACCTAGTAATTATCTAGTCCAAGGCACCAAATAAGCCTTTTCTTTTTAAACATATGTATATTGTCTACTTTGCTTTTATTATTCAGTTTAAAATAACTCAAGGCTTAAGTTTTTTTTTTTTCCCCAAGTCATTTAATGTGAATTTTTGTAAGCTTTTTTTTTCCATTTGATATAAATTTAAAATGATCACTTTCCTTTAATTTTTTTTTTAAACTACAGCAAAAATTTCACAATTATGCTCTTAGCATATTCAAATACTTAAATTTGCTGCAAACAGGAGTGCTGCTTTTTTTTTTCAATATGTTTTTGAAAGGCATAGATAATTATCTATGCTTATTAAGTAAATAATATTATATATCTGATAAAATATTGCCATCTATTGAAGAGATACAGCCTGGAGTTTTGTCAACATTTTCCTAGGAAACCTGGAAAAGTCAGTAAATTTTCTGAATTCTGAAATAAACTTTTAATATCTTATATTTTAAAACAGGTGATCTAAATGAAACATTTAGAACATTATACCAAGCAAATTTTCGAACAGCATTACATTAAAAATATTAGAATTGGAACTATGTGGAAATGTCTAAAAAACAATTGAAAATCCTAATGGATTTTGGAGGGAAAAAATTTGAAGGAATCTGTTTAATTCTTTTTCAATACATCGGGCACCCAATCACAGTTGAAGGACTAACAAGCGGTGTTTTCTGAAAAAGACAAAAAAATTTCTACTAATTGAAAGGCAGCAATAGAGTAAAGATTTAGTTTTATTAAAGCTTAATGTTCTAACATAAGATTTACAAATTTTTTGAAGAAGCAGAAAATGATTGACAAACAGTTTTAATTTTCAAAAAATAACTGTTTTAAATACTAATTAAAGGAAACTGAATGTTTTGTGTGTTTCTCATTACCCTTAGTAAAAAGTGATAAAGCAGTACGAAAATTGAAACTGTTCTTTTTTTTTTCCAGCATCACAGACAGAATACAATAGTTTAAATTTGCAATAATGAGCAATATGTAAATAATTGTTTAGATTTTTTTCTTTTAGAAATTATTCTGATCTAATATTTCTTTAATTGTCATCTTCTCGTGACATATTTTTATTGTGAGAAAGGCTGAAAAAGAAATAATTTAAAACTGTTAGATAATATTCTAAGTCTATTTTTTTACTTGAATTTTTTCTCCTAAATTTCTCTGTGCTGAATTTCAAATTGTATAGAAAAATAACAGTACTTCAAAAAATTTTGACTAAGTTTTACTCCATTTATCTATTTGAATAATGTATAGTGCTTTAAATAATATGAATAATGTATAATGTCACCAGCATATCATCCAATAAAAAAGCAAAATATCTGGTTAATGGTCCATCAAAAAATTTCTGCTGTTTTTATATTTTGCTTATCGCATGAATGTAAAGTGCAATCACTAACATGAATTGAATAATTTCTATAAAACAAAGCAAAAAAATTTAAAGCTGGGAAATAAATTTGTTTATAATTTGTGGTTATGAATTTGTTTTGAGATCATGAATTTTTTTCTGATATATGGTTAATGTGGTTTAAATAGATCTTCTACCATATCATGTTTGTACAACTGATATTTCAATAAAAATTATTAAAGTAGACACAAATTATTATTATAATTTAGGGAACTGATTTTTTATCAATGGACACCCGATGTTGAGATATTTTCTCAATACAGTGAAACCCCGATTTTACGTTTCTCANAAAAACGTAAATTCGGGGGACGTAAAATCGAGGTTTCACTGTAAACACTTTAGCCACATTTCTATTGGTGCCCCTTTCGCCACATGTCCAAAACAGAATCAGATATTGCCACCCTATTAAATTCAAAGTTTACTTGAATTAACGGTCATATTTTGCAGCCCAAAACATGCATTCCTTAAATTAAAAAAACAGCAGGGCTATATCAAATGTTATTCCCTAAGCAACAGTTTTGTTCAGTTACCATTCTGTAGCAGATTTCTTAAAAATATAGAAATATATGTACATAAAACTATTATTTTACAACTCTAAATATGTTTTGGTACCACCCTATTTCATAAAGAAAAGCAATATACGTACAAAAAACTTTTATTTGACGATGTTAGACATGCATATAAAAAAAAAGATAAGAGAAACACTTTGAAGTAAGTCACTTATAAAATTTGTATCTTAAAATTAAACCCAATCATCAATTTAGCTGAGGCACAACAATAATCAATGCATTTAATTTTAAAATTGACTTCACAGCAATATTAAATCTTTCCACTTACAACAAATATACTTAATGCATAACACAGCAAAGTCAGTGTTCCGAAGAGCTATTCAAAAAAAGGTATTTAATGATTGTCTATGATGATTGGGAACAGTGTATTTTATATTTGCATTCAACCTGCTATTAGATTGAAATAAAAAATAACTTTCTGTTTAATTGTTTATTGAAAAATATTATTTAATATTTTAGGCAACTTTGAGACACGCAGCATTGCTTTATGAAACTCACAGGTTCCATTTTAGAATATCACAACTGAGAGCTCGCCGTGGATCTGACATGAAAGAATATAATTTAGGCCCTCAGTGTCAGGAATGGAATAATGAAGATCTAAATGCTTATACAGATGAAAGTTATACCATGAAGGTAAACTACTTGCGAGTATTATTTTAGTAATATAGAAGATATAAAAATATGCGGAAATATATTGTGTGAAAAGATAAATTTGTTAAATATTTTTGATACATAACTTCTCTTTCATAGTGGTTGGCAATCACTTTTAAAATCATATTTGTTCATCATTCAGGTTAGAAAGTTTTGATTTTTAATATTTTAATCCTGTGTTTTTGGAAGAAACAAGGTATCAGACATTTTTTTTTTTTTATTTTTTATTAAGTGATGATCAATAGAATGGAATAGATGTAATATGGGAAATAACTTTAAAATTTTAAATTGGAAAACATGTCATAAGTTATTTAAGTTATATTTGTAAAATAAAGATTTTTTTCACATTTTATTTGGGATTTAAAAATTAAAATTTGCTTTCTCAAAATATATGGCAAAATTATTAATTTAAAAAAATCCAATATTTAAGTTGCTTAAATTGAAATTTTAAATTCTAAAATCTTTCTCACTGTCTTCAATTTTTTGTTTCTTCTAATAAATATTTATAACTAATTATTATCTTTAAAAAAAAAATTTTTTTTTTGTGTGTGTGCAAGTTGTTTTATTTAGAGTTATAAGTGTTATAAATATTTTAAAAATTATAGGTTTGGGGCAATTTCATATGCTTTTAGACTGTTTCTGATACTTTACCATATGTCCTGTTCAGGATGTTGGAACCCAGAATGTAGCTCTGCCTATAAAGCTCAAAAGAAAGCATGGAGGAAATTTCATACATTTCCTACCATTGAAAATTTAATAGCTTTCAAAAAATTTCGAGCCTTTTCACGGAAAACTCGAAGAAATAATCAAAAAAGTTCTTGGGAGCAGTATGGCTGTAGTATAAATAACAACACTACATCCTGCAAAATCTGGAAAAAATTAAAACCATTTCTGGTAACTATCCTAATCAATCTATACCGCATTTAGAAACCAATGAGAAAAAAATATTTAATGTTAAAGATATTGCTAATATTCTGGCTGAAAGTTTTAGCAAGATATCAGACCGTTCTAATTGTCCGACAAAGTTTCAATTATATAAAAATAAAATTGAACAAAAACATCTTTAAAATTCCCATCTGATGAATACTATTCCCCAATTACTTTTTCAGAATTAAAATCTGCTTTAAGCCGTGCCTGGTTTACATCGACAGGTCCCGACAAACTTCATAATTCCATGCTAAAAATATTCCAGATACTGATTTACAAGCAGTTTTAAAGCTGTTCAACAAAATTTGGTTAGAAAGGGAATTTCCATCTTCTTGGCGAAAATCTATTGTCAAAGCTATTCCCAAATCAGAACAATTATAGACCAATTGCATTGACTAACTGCCTCTGAAAACTGCTTAAAAAGATAATTAATACCAGGCTTGTCCAATTTCTTGAATCTCAAAATATATATCATATTCATCAGAGCAGGTTTAAAAAATGCAGATCCACTGTTGACAATATACTTATACTAGAAACACAAGTAAGGTTTTACTGATAGAACCTTTCAGGTACGTATTAATGCAATTTTATCAAATGATTTTAACCAACTCAAAGGAGTCCCAAACGGTAGCATGATTAGTGTCTTTTTTTTCCATTAAAATAAATAAACTTTTATCATTTCTATCACATGCAGTTGAAGGCGAGTTATTTTATAGATGATTTTAGATTGACTTGCAGAGCCACGTGCATGCGACTATTGAAGGACAGTTACAACTTTCGATAAACAAGATTTTAAAATGATCTGATTTAAATGGTTTTACCTTCACCTAATAACTTCTTGTATTCATTTCTGTTGAAAACGAGAGATTCATCCTGATCCTGAACTTTACATTAATAATACCGTCATCCCTGTTGTCCAGGAAGCGGAATTTTTAGGTCTAATCTTAGACTTAAAATTGACATTTAAAGCTCATATCCAGAAATTACGACAATCCTGTTTCTCCAAACTAAATATCTTTAATCAATGCTCAAATTATATCATTCTTTAATCCGTTCCAAGTTAAATTATAGTTTATGGATCAACTAGAAAGTCGGTTTTAAAAAATGTAGACACTATTCATCATCAAGGACTCGTGATCACCACAGGAGCTTTACGTACATCACCAATCAAAAGTTTGTGTTTTACATAATGAACCTTCTCTCGCTCTGAGATGAAATAGTCTCTCTCTTAACTTTTATTCTCACATTAAATGTCACCCTTTGCGTCCATTATACTCTCACGTTTTAACACCATGTTCTACTCACTTCAACAACAGACCTGCCTTAATTCTACTTTTGGATTAAGGATGAAAAATCTTTTAACAAAATTACGTTTAGATGATTTTAATGTTTTAGAATCAGCTGAGTTGATTCCTGTGTGGATTGGCGTGCATGTTAAAATTGTCGACATTTTTAAAAACTTGACTGAGGATAAAACATTTGCAGTGATTTATCAGCAGTTATTTTATTCCCATTTATATAATTTTAATGACTTTTATGTGCTATACACAGATGGATCTAAATTAAATAACCATGTAGCTAGTGCGGTTGTACACAATGCAGGAGTGATAGAAACTACCTTCAAATTTTTTTGTATTTTCCTCGGAATGTCATACCATTCTTCTTGCTCTACAATTTCTTTCAAACCAAATGCACAAAAATTGGTTATCTTTTCTGATTCAAAAAGCTGTATGGATGCTATAAAAAATTGTAACAGTAAACCTCACTCTATTATCCCACATATTTTAAAGTTATACATTGAACTCACTAACAATAACTACGAAATAATATTTGGTTGGATTCCTAGACATATAGGCATTAAGGGTAACAAAACAGCACACTCAATAGCCAAGTCGACACACAATCTTACAAATAAACAACACTGTTTACCTGACATTCGAAATTTAGTGGCAGACCCTGTTACCCATCTCAGATAAACTGGACTACTGAAATAAACAACAAATTGCATAAGATCTAACCATATATTAAACCATTTGCACCATTCACTAACTACAATAGAAAAACCCAGGTACTTTCAACAGGCTATGAATTGAGCACACCCGCTTGACACACAAATATTTCATTTTAAGTGAAGCACCTCCACAATGCAATTTTTGTAGAGAGTCTCTTACAGTGAAACATTTCCTGAATCAGTGTATAAAGTTTAAATCTAAAAGACGACAGTACTTTAACTTCGGCTTCCCGACTTTAGCAATTTTACTTGGAGATGCACCTCATCCTAACTTAATGACTTATCTCAAAGAAATCGGATTTTATAATTCGATTTAATTCAAATTTTAATAAATTGACCAGCTTTTGACTAGCTATATTGATTTTTGCCAAATTACTTTAGTTTTATTTTAGTTTTGATTTTAACCAAGTTTCTTCAAACTCAACCTTGTGTTTGAAGTTTAACCAAATTTTATAAATTTTAACTAAGTTATATAAACTTTTAACCTAGTTGTAGGTGTGGTATAGCCAAATCATGGCTCTTGCGTAAAAATTTGCATCACTCACTCACACATCCTGTTCAGGGTGATCAAAACCACAACCTTGCTTTAATTATCTTCAATAAATTGTTTTTGTTAATTTCCAATTTATTCCAAAAAATCATTGCATTAGGTTATGAGTAAAATTTTATATAAATAATTTGAATTCTTAATGTTCATTATTTGAATTCTTAATGTCCAAAAATTAAAAACTGTTTAAAAGTTTTTTTTTTTAAAAAATGTAAGTGTGTATTTTTTTTCTCTTATTAAATTATAATTTATTGGAGTGAGGGCTGATGTGAAAATGTCATTCATATTCCATTATATTAGGGATATAGTATGTTTTTTTATATCATAAGTTACATCTAATTAATAACTCAAATCTATCATAGAATGTTATGTTAGAACAATATTTAATAACGAAAAAATTGTGTTTGTATGTGTAATCTTTTTTACTCATTACATTAGAAAATTTATGTTTCATTTTCAGGTACGATTCCTTACAAATATATATGGCACATTTCGTCAAGACATTGTTTTTGATTTCGGGTTTGAACCTGTTTTGGTGAAAAAATTATGTGTTGATGTTGTCTCACTCTGTGATATGGAAAAACTGCAACAAGCAAGAGAGACAGTGGTCTCTTTTACTGAGCGTTGGAGTAACAATGATGTCACCATTGTACCTTTTGAAAATCGTCCACATCCCTTGGGTGATCTGGAAAAAAATCTTCTTTCTTGTTATCCTGTTCCTAATGGAAAATTTAACGTCACCAATTCCGTTATGGAACCTACTTTAACACCTGATAACTACTGTGCACGTCAACATGAATTACTCTGTATTGAAGAAATGACTCAGTATGAACTTCTTTCACGGTAATTTCCTTTTAAATTTTACGTAAATTAGTTACTTTTAGTGAGTTTCATTTTTGAAAAATCATTTTTAATTTTTACTATGATTTTACTCTTACTTACCTTTGAATATAAAGCTACTCATGTAAATTTGTACGAAACTGTTCTTGCCAAGCAGGTTTTTCCTTTAGCATAAAAGAAAAAAACAATTTATGTGAATAAATCTTAGGTTTTAACCCTGAACCAAGTGCTTTGAATTAGTCTTTTCTGGCATCTAAAAGAAATTTTTATGATGTGTTGTGTGTAAAGAATTTTTAAATAATTGATACAAAGAGAAAAAAAAAATTTTAATTTTGTGCTTATAAATTTGTTTTTTATTATGCATACAGAAAAGTTTTAACGTCTGTAAATGCTTAGGTTAGTGGTAGGTTGGTGATAATAATTTTTAGATACTTAAATTACTACTTACATAAATATCTAATTGAATTACTGAATTTCATAACCTCTCTAACTAAATATTGGTATTTTTTAATTTTGCCAGCTCAGGAAATAGTCACCAATGCTGTTTGAAATATTTCTAACTGACTAATCAGTCAGATCTTCTCTCATATTACACTAAAAATAAAGTTCGAGGCTGTAACATTTTCCCTGAGAAGTTAACATACCTCGTTTTCAATATATGGAAGGGAGCTTACAACTAAACTTGTTATTTGTTCTTTACTTAAATGACATGCAAAATGCTTAGTGAATTGTAAATTGGTGTATACTACAACTGCATTTTTGTATAAAAATCTTAGGCCCTTTTTTTTATCTCAAACTTGCTGCTTGCTTGTGCTTTCATCATTGTATATTTTTCTGGGAAATTAAATCCTAAGGCTCATTTATATAATCATATGTCATATGTAAATTAATATCCTGTGGCAGAATTTTTTTGGACTTTCTGCACCAAACCTCTCTATCTCTAATATCTTTCTGCAAGATACTTTTAATAATAACTAATAAACATGTTATTAATTAAATTTAAAGTAACAGAAACGTTGTTTACAAAAAAAAAGCCTATTTGGATATAATAAAATTTTATGTATATTTTTTAAATGAATGTGTATTGTTTTTTATTCTAATATCATGAGCGATATTCTCACATTTTGTAAGAGGAAAACACACCAAAAAAAATTTAGCATTTCGTAAATCATTATCACATAAGAAAAAAAATAATAATTAAAATTCATAAAATCCAAAAAAGAAAAGAAAACCAAATTTTTTTTTTCTTCCCAAATACGAATTTTTAAAAAAATCACAAGCATTTCTTCCCCTCTGATGCATAATAATAAATAAATAAAATAGCTAAATTTGATAGAGAAAAAGAAAATTAGGGAAACCTTAGAAACCAATATATGGACTCTTCTATTTTTGATAGTAAATTCATATATATATAAATAAATATACACCGAAGAGCCATTACATTATGACCACCCTCCATCTATAACAATGGGCTCGTCCAGGTTTTCATGGTTTCTCGCCCAGGAACAATGTTTTCATGGGACACATTAGGACCCATAATCCTCATAGAACAATCCCTGACGTCTGTAAGCTATTTGAACATACACTGCTCAAAAAAATTAGGGGAGCCATGTGCTCCCCTAATTTTTTTGAGCAGTGTATATACATATATATATGCATAGATATACACTGCTCAAAAAAATTAGGGGAGCACATGGCTCCCCTAATTTTTTGAGCAGTGTAGTTGCAGACCTGGTTCACCCATTCATGGCAACAGTTTTTCCTGCGGGGGATGATGTTTACCATCAGGATAATGCACCATGTCATAAGGTTCAAAACTTCATGGATTGGTTCGAGGAACATTCCAGTGACTTTCAAGTCATGCCTTGGCCCCCAAATTCACCTGACCTTAATCCAGTAGAGCATTTGTGGTCCTACTTGGAAAAACAAATTCGTGCTGCCAGGCTACCCCCTCACAATGTAAGAGAATTACAGGACCAGTTGGTGAGTGCTTGGTACCAGATTCCTCAGACTACCTATCAGCACCTTGTGGAATCAATGCCATGGCAGGTGCTAGCAATTTTGAGGGCTAAAGATGGTCCTACACGTTATTAACAGGGTGGTCATAATGTAATGGCTCTTCGGTGTATGTCTATAAACAGTCAAAAACAGGTATATATATATCTATGTTAAAAGAATGTTTGTGCTATTCCTTTCTTCTGCACTTTGATATTTTTGTCCTCTTAATTAATAAAATAGTACACAACTCCATGACTGAAACTATTACAACACAAAGCATAGTTTAAACTTATTGGCATAAAAATACATTCTTTAAAAATTGGTTCTCTTTCTTAAACATTGACTCTTTCATTATTTTATTTTCATTAATCTTTTGGCTCTAAATATTGAAAAGTTATTTTCAAAGCTTTTGCAAAAATATTCCTAACATTTTTAATCTCTTTGCAAGGTATAACATTCAAGCAACTTTAAATCTATCAAGTTGCTATCTTCTAACTCCAAATTCTGCAGTGACTGCAAAATATGCTCATAATGGAGAGCTTTTTGCACATATGACCTTGACATCTGTTTTATCTGAAGACTCTGCATCAGGAAGATTAATTCTTAGTAACTGTAGTACAGTCCTTCTAGCATCTGTTAAAACAAAAGGAGAGGAACAGAGGAAAGTAAGCATTAAAATATGTTTTTTAACCTTTTATCTGTCTTGGGAAGCATTTATAAAGGATTATTTTTCTATGTTTATTCAAAACAGCGAAACAGAAGCAAATACTTTTTTGCATTCAGGAGTGAAAATTTTCAGTCTTTCTATAAATTTTCAATTTTTTTTGTTTTGTTTTTTTTTGAAGAAATTACTTTTGTTTGTTAAATATTCACCTTTAGTAAAATATTTTTTCTAAAAGAATTTAGTAATTTTATTTTAAAAATTGAATAAGTAAAAAAAATAAGTAAATAAAAAACTTATTTTGAATAAACTTTGTTTTAAATTTAAATTATTAAAAAATAATTGCTAAAAAGCAACCATAAGATTTCAGTATATTAATTGATGCTTTTTATTTTTAACCAAATTTTGCTGACTGATTTTCGTATAAAAATTTACTTTTCAGGCATAAAGATTTGTATTTATTTTTTATTTTTAAAAGTTAGTTCACTATTTTTTTCTATTTTAAAATTTACCATCTTGTCATGGCTGTTTTTAGAAACAACTGTTTGTCCTAATTAGAACTGAGTTTGATGTTTATAGATTAGAGATTACAATAATTACATAATTAGTATTGTAAAATTCTTTTTTTTCTCTCATTTAATTTGAAAATGTTTCAGTCAAACCCTTTGATATATTCGTAAAATATTTTTACAGCACTATCTTCATAAATTCAAATTTATTTGCTACTCTAACACAGTCAGAATGGTGACAGGCGATTAAGCTTAATTTTTAATTACAGTAGGGAACCGATTATCCGGAACGATCGGGACCATCGCTATTCCGGATAACTGATTTTTCCGGTTTTCTGAATCGCTACAAAAAGCCGTTTTTTTATTGTTAAACCCAAATAAAAATATCTTTTTTTGGAAATAATCTTAAAAAGAAAGAAAATCGATGAAGTAATATACTTATGATTATTTCCAAAATGATGGTAAGGTGAACATCCTTCAAAAAAGAAAGAAAAATCCTAAAATCTTATGAAGAAAAAAAAATTTTTTTTTAAAAATGGCGGGAAAATTTATCGAATTTCGTTCCGGTTTTTTGGTTTTCCGGTTTTCTGATTTCCGGATAACGGGTTCTGTACTGTAGTATAAAAATTAAGATAAATCTAACATATGTAGAACAATTTGTGTAGATTAAATATAATAAAATTATAAACTGAAACTTTGTTTTTAAGTTTAGTTTAAATTTTATACAATCATACTTAAGAAGGGACAACAACAAACTAAAATTTTTAATAAGTGGGGGGGGGGAATTTATCGTAGTGTTTGATACTTTACCCTTTTAAGATTATTGTACCAAAATATTAAACTGAATTTCATAAAAATGTAAGAATTAACAGCATAATATGTCACTTGAGTTGCAGGGGAACACTATGATGTGTAAGAATAAGTGAACTTGTTCTCTCTGTTGATTAATGGATGCGTTTACTCCTATCAAATTATTTTAGTAAAATATTATTTGTACTATTTTATTGAAATTATTTATTGAAATTATTTGTTTAAATTATGCACACAAGAAAAGAATTAATGGTATTTTCGATATATTGCAACTTATTGAAATTGACTTGTTAATGAAAGTTGCCAAGGGTTATTGGCAGTTTTGGAACAATTAAAAACAAATATAGGCCCAGCAGCAAAAGAATTTGCCCAAAATGATGATGACCGTCAAATTTTGGCTGCTAATCTAAAAACATATTATGCATCTCATGATGGTAGATTAACAAGGTAAAGGGCTAGACTAGCGCTATGGACTACTGAATATGATGGAGAAGAGGCATCTTACAGACCTGGTATTATAATTACCTGCAAAATTTTATGTATTTAATCACAAAACATTCAATGCAATTTACTCAAAACTGTTTCTCGTTCTTGTTATATCTCTAACTAGTTCAATTTTCAACAGATTTACTTGGAATTTTGATACAATGTTCACAATAAATATAGTTTTCGTTGCACATAGGGATTTTTAAATTTGGTCAACTAGTTTTGAATAATGTACAAAAATGTAACTGATTTTGTCATTTTTATTTTTAAAAAAATTTCAAAGCATGCCCTTTTTTAAAAGATTTTTTTTAAAAAAAAAATCCTTCATGCAACAAAAACTACATTTATATAGTTCAAATTAGGATTAATTTTTTTTCTACTTTTGAGTGCAGCAAGTTATGGATAATTTAAACAATAAATTATAACCATTATATTGTGTAATCTTTAGTTTTTTAAGTCTTTATTTGTAACATCATAAAATGAAGATTAAAATATGTACAATTATATACAAAAAATAAAATAAGTTTTTTAATGAAAAATTCATTAAAAAAAAATTTTTTTTTATGAGCTATTTCTATGTTGTTCCCTATAAAGTTTTTCCAAAAAGAGAAGATACATATGTTTATGCTAAGATCAAAAAGAAAAAGAGAAAAAACTTTATAAAAAGGATGAATTTGTAGATGATAATATTAAAATGAAATCTTTTTACTTTCCATAAAAAAAAAATTATTAATAGTTATTATGGAAAAATTAAATTAATAGTATTTTATGGAGTTATGATAAGTACCTAATTAAAGTTTCTTCAAATGCCATTCATTTCTGTACCATTGCAAGTACTTTGCAAATAAATAAAACAATAACCAAAATGTAGGGTTTAATATTATAGGAACAGCAAATAAATATAATTGCTTAAAGTTAAAACATTTCTCTATCTACTCCATTGCAAAAATGATATTAAATAAGAATGAACGTTGGCGTACAGATGGATGCACTGGTGTTTTTTGGGTATCTGATTTTTAAAAAAATGTGATTTTTACTTAGTTTTTTCTACTAACAATTTTTTTCCAGTTTTTTTTTTCTTTCTATATTTGAGATGAGAGGGAATAAACTGCAAGGCCTGCTGTTGTGCTGGAGAATGGCTGTTACCAAATGTTATATATATTTCTATGTACCAAAATTTTTCATTTTATTTATTTTTAATGTAATTAAGAATATTCATTTTTCTAATGCATTTTTATTTAGAAAATAAATTTGTATATACACATACTTATTTCGGATTAATATTTTTCTGTTTTAAGGTTTATGAAGCAGTAATTGAAGATAAAGGAAAAACAGTTATTTATATGAGATTGTCTAAGAAGTGTTGTGAGGAGTTAAAACTAGGTCCTGATCGAGAGTTTTTGGCTGAGGTAAACATTTGTGTGTTTTTTGTATAGATGTCATTGCAGATGTCATAAATCTATTACTAAGCCATAACTTATGTTAACAATTATAGGTGCAATTTCAACTAAACCGTCTACCAGTGTGTGAAATGCATTTTGCTGTTGATAGATTGCACCCAACATCAATTGTATTTCCAGATATATCGGAGGTTCCACAATTATGGAAAAACAAACCTTTAAATCAGTAATATTTAACAACTGTTATACTTTTTTTATTGTATTCATGAGAAGTCCTATTTTTAGTATTTTAATTAAGATATATGCATTATGCATTTAATTTTTCTTAACTAAGCAAAAGAGATAATAATGGGATTAGTCAATGCTGAATGCTACGGGACAAAGAATAAAAAAGTTTGAAGAATTTAAATGTCTATTATTTCAATTAACCAAGTCAAATAAAACAACTGAGATTTTTATATAAGCCTTAAAATTATAGTTTGATAATATATTTATATAGATATATTATATTTGTGAGACACCTAAATAAATATACCTATTTTGATAAACTAAATTTTATAAACTTTATTTTGTTACTGCAAATATTTTGATAATTGTTAGAAACTATAAATGTATTAAGAATTTTTACTTTTAAATATCCTTCTTTATCCTCGCAGAAAATTTCTATGTTCTCGCAAATGTATCTTCTGTTATGCAAAAATAAGCATAACTTATTTCATACAAATAAAATCTAAATTAGGTATTTCATTTAATCCTTTTCCCAACAAATATAAATTGGCTTTTTATTCTATAACCTTAAGATCATGGAGAAAATCAATTTACTTTAAATGTTGCCTCTTCTCTTGCGCTAATCATTTGCATTAAGTTTGTGAAACTGTTGTGTGGTTGCTAAATTGTATTTTATTTGTTATTTTATTTTGATTATTAAAAAGTCATTATTTCTCATAACTTTTTCGCTGACAATACGTTTTAAGTTATAAAGCCAAGAAATGCATAAAAATCTTGAAACAAAGAATCTTGCAACTTTCATAACCATTCCGTGAATTTTTTTGTTTCTTTCGAGGAAAAAGTCTTAATGCTGTGAATTATGTAAGGAATAATCCTACTTTAAAGCTAAATTTCTTTAGACAAAAAATATATTGTCAAAACTAAGAAAGACAGAAATGAAAAAAAACTCTCTTCTCAGCCTATTTTTGTTTTTAAATAAATTATTAGTCACTTAAATTGTTTTAAAACAGCACAAATACAAAATTATTCACATGATTAGCTACAACATGCCTCTTATCAAGCTTGTATTTATCTATTTACTGCTGCTATTACCATATCTTAGTTATAAATTTACTTATCATTTGTATTTCTTTAAAGTTATGTATTTTTTAGGAAACTTAAATCATTTGAACCTAAGCTCAATCCAAAACAAAGAGAAGCTGTTTTAGCAATTACTACTCCTCTCTGTGCCAAATTACCACCTGTTTTGATTATTGGGCCGTTCGGAACAGGAAAGACATATACCTTAGCACAAGCAGTAAAAATTATTTTAGATGATCCTAACTCTAGAATATTAGTTTGCACTCATTCAAATAGGTAGGTTAACTTCTATTATCTATCAAAAGTCATATTTTTAAGTAAATCTTACATTTTTTTTTTATTGTTTGTCTTGAAATTTTAAGAAAATGTTTGCTATAAAAAGTTTGCTCAAATTAAAAGGGGACTGAGTGATAGCATCAGAAATAGAGGAGCGATAACAAATCCAGCTTTCAGTTTTATGAGTTAAGGTAGGAAGAGACAAAATATCATTTAAATCTGATTATTCATTTCAAGTGTTTTCATGTAAGTTGGTTAAAGTTGTGATAAGGTGGATACATTCAAAACAGAAAAATACAGAGTAGTAATATCTTCAGTTGCAGCATAAGATGAGTGAAATTCAGACATGTATCATCACATGTTTTCTGTTAATGACAAATACAGTACAGAACCCGTTATCCGGAAATCAGAAAACCGGAACGGTTTTTTTAAAAAAAAAAAGTTTTTTTTTTCCTCATAAGATTTTAGGATTTTTCGCTCTTTTTTGAAAGATGTTTACCTTACTATCATTTTGGAAATAATCATTAGTGTATTACTTCATCGCTTTTTCTTCTTTTTTTCTTCTATAAAAAAAACGGCTTTTTGTAGCGATTCAGAAAACCGGAAAAATCAGTTATCCGGAATATTGATGGTCCCGATCGTTCCGGATAATCGGTTCTCTACTGTACTATTTAGGACAAAGAACTATCAAACAATGGGTGTAAAAGACTTCATGAAAGGTGTACACCAATATGGAATTTGCCTTTCAAAGAATGTTATTACAAGAGGAAAAGTTTGTCACCAGACGAATTGCTGCCATCAGACCCTTAAGTAAATTTTTAGACTCTCATCACCCCATATAAGTCATTCTACATTGTTTCTGCTAAACTTTTGTAAATTGCTGTGCTTTTTCTAGTAGATTTAAAATTTGTCGGCTATTGTCGAACCTGGAAACTTGCTTAAACAAAGGACCTCTGGGATCCACAGAAGATAACAGCTTATTATGTTGAATTTAAAAAAATTCAGTGAGTCTCTGCTCTTATTGCATTTCAGCTTTATTCCAGAGAGTTCAAATTACTACAGAACTATTTGTTTAAGGACATGATCCTTCAACTTGCTGTTAACAACCATTTCTATCTCAATGCGCAGTCGAAGAACTGCATTTTCAAATGTTTCATTAAAAATGATGTAATGATTTATTGGATCAATTTAAAATTGGTTATTCTACTGAATAATCCTTTCAGGTGTAGATGTTTTTTTTTTTTAACTTAGGCTTGATGGGCTGATGTTTAAAGGGAAATTACTTGCAATGATCAGAATCATGAATTAACTAAATGCGCAAGACTCCTATCAGTAGCTAGGCCTAGCATCAGAGGAACAAAAAAAAAATTAACTGCATATGCAGAGAAAAACATTTTTCACACTCACTGTAGCTAGATAGATGACCTTACTCTCCAAGTTCTAGCTGTGCAGTTGATGTGACATCAGTAGTATACACAACCACAAAGTGTGCCAAGTGAAAGTGGGAATATGATGTTATCGATGATAGACATGATGTTATGGATAAGAAAGATTAACTGTTAGATTTTTCTTCTAAATGAAATTGATATCCTTGCAGAGTGTCCAGTGTACACTTAAATTTATATAGATCCTCTGGAAATAACAGGGTAGTTAACCAGCTATGCACTTACTATTCTTAGCCTTGAATAATGATGCTATCACTGCTATACTATTGTATTTCTGACCCTATCACTTAATCTTTATAGCCTACACAAACTCACCCTTTACAGCCTGTTCTGATGCTGTGCACTTTTTATTTGGACAACTCTTCTATTTTTTGCAATATATTTGGGGCTTTTAATAACATTCTAATTTTACAAGCACAGTACCCCCTCATTTTATGTTGTTTGTCTGAGGATAGAAAAAAAGAGCTATGTATTGAATTGTGCAATATATTACAAAGAACCACACTGTTAAATATAAACAATAGTATGTAATTATATTCTAAAAAATTAGTCCATGAAAGTAAGTCATTTGCACTTAATTTTTGTTGTTGCTTTCTCTGGATTAAAATGGACTATAGAAGGGTTTTCTGATTTCTGTTTTTAAAACTTGCTATTCTTTTGAAATTGAGAGATGAAAATGTTCCAACTGCCTTTCAGTTATTTGATTTTAAATAGTCATTTAACAGTCGCATAGAATTCATTCAAGGGCAAAAATTGGTCTGCAGTTCTCAATTTAAATGCTTCTTTTAAAAAAGTTTCTTGGCATCTATTAATGAATTTATAAAGAATGTTAATCATCATTTTTCTCATCAGGAAAAAAATGCTTATATTTTTATGGAATTCTTTTTAGTTATTATATTTGTGTGATTTAATGATATGTAATGTAAAAATGAAGACTACTACATTATACTTTCATAAAAGCTTTATTATTTACATTGTTCAATTCATTGAAATTAATGATTGTAATTTTTTATTAATAATTTAAAATTTTTAATTGGCTTTAAGTTATTACAATGTGGAAGAACAGTATTTGATTTTATTGTGCTGTATTTAAGATATGAATCTAATAGAAAGAAAACCCGTGTTTATAAGAAATATCTACTTATTGTTGGAAATGAATATATGCTGAAGATGCTTTGATATTCTATGAGAATAAATGTGTATAAATTAAATGCATAATATTAATTGCAAGTACTTGTTTACATAATGCACCTTTTAAATGTTTTAAAAAGACGCAAATAATGGAAAAATAACTGCAAAAGTTCAGAGTACAAGTAAAAGCTACCTAAATTTGCTTTCTTATTCACTGGGATTCTATCCTTGATGGCTGATCGGAGCTTATCCTGATTCAGATCAATAGTTGCCTACTTGTCTGACAGCTAAAATTGACTGATGTGCATTGCTGATCACAAGATTCTGGAGCTTTTACTTCCATGAATCTTCCTGACAAACAACTGTCTGTTAAAGAATGGTTTGTTCTTATTCATACCAAACGATGCACTATTGAATTACCTAATATAATTGAGGTATATCTTAATAAATTGATAAAATATTATTCTCTTAAATTCTTTCATATTTGAAGTTATTTTATATGTGACAATATTACATTTGTGGGGAATCTCTTGATTCAACTTCAATTATGAAAAAACTTTTTAAAGTCTTTTAGAGATGTTATGCAAATGAAGACATAACAATTATAAAAAAATATATACTAAAAAGACTAAGTCCTTTCCATCAATTTTTATTTTTAAAAGAAAAAAACTAATTTAGAAGGTACATGGAAAATTTATTATTGCACTTTGTTGTCCAAACAATAATTATGAATGCCATTATGAATAAATATGGAGTGTGTGCACTTTGTTCAGTTATTTTCAATCCTAAATGTCTAGATCAAAGTACTAGTCAATCTTTATACTTGTGTATCATTTGAATGAAGAGTATTTTAGAATGTTCATTATATCACTGATTTGAATTAAAAAGATGTCATCAATTTTAAAGTTGTTCATAATCATTTTATCTGTTTTTTGCAACTATCTGTTAAAATTTTGAAAAAAATGTAATAGCTTACTCAAATTTTTTTAAAATCAGGGTAAACCTTTCAAATCTAAACTAGGCATATACTCAGTAAATAATTATAACTTGTGCAGTTCTTATAAATTTAGTATCCTTGCACTTCTAATCTTTATTTAGCTGAAATTCATATAAGTTTCTGAAAAAATATTGTTGTTGTAGTGCCGCTGATATTTACATAAGAGAATATTTACATCCACAAGTTGCTGAGGGTAGAATTGAAGCTACACCCTTGCGTATATATTACCGCCATCGCTGGGTAGCGACTGTACATCCGACAGTTCAACAGTACTGTTTAATCAACTGTGATAACAATGAAAAGCATTTTGTCATGCCAACCGCTGATGATGTTAAAGCTCATAGAATTATTGTCACTACTTTAAAAACTGCAAGATACCTAGTACAGCTTGGCCTAGAAAAAGGTAGCTTGGCTCTGTGTGTTTTAAAATTATCTTTAACTTTGATCCATTTATGTCATTGTGTTTAAATTTTTCAATGTATTATTTTCTTTTTATTCTTTTTTATTTTATTTTTATAAAGTCTTTAGTTTTGTAATTTAACATTTAAATGAAAAGAAGAAAAGTAAATAAAAATTAAATTCATTTCTTAAATTTTTTCCGTTGGTAGTATTTTGAAAAAGGAGAACAACGATTGAAAAATCAAGGCATATATCTTGCGAATATTAATGTTTCAAATCTTTAAAAAGACTTTAAGGTTATATTTCTATTAAAAGTGTTAAAAGAAAATCTTCATGTAAGAAATATTTTAAGAAAAATCTTTTAAGGGTACATTAAATAAATCTCAAAAAGTACATTTAATTGATCTCTATTTGACACACCTGAATCGTGTAATTCCATCATAATTACACATAGTTTTATCCTCCTCTCTTTTTCAGTTATTACCTTAGATTTTACAGTTATTAATTTTTTTAATGCGATGACAATCGCAAAGAGCGTAAAAGAGGGATATGTAATTTTTTTCAAAATCTATATTCTTTTATATGTTGATGGGGAAAAAAATTTTTTTCTTTCCCCCATTGAATTTTATAAATGGTACTTTTGTGCATAAACTTGGCAGTCTTTTATTTTCTATATACTGTAAAACATAAATACTAAAAGAAAAAGAGAAAACTACATAATAAAAAAAAAAAGAATTTCAAATAATTTCTTCCAGCAATCATATTTCTGATTTTTACTGTACTTTTTATATTTTTGTGGACTAGATTTGTGTTCATGAGAAGAGTTGCTCACTGCGCAATTTATAAACTGCACTTTTCAAAAAATTTTGATTTAAGGTGTCAAAGTATTAGGTTCTGTCATTGATTTTTATACTTAAAATATTATGGAGTTAGGCAATTTATGCAGTGACCGGCTCATACATTTTCAAAACTAACTTTAATTACTTTATACTTTTAATTACTTTTTTAACTCTGCTCACATGGCCTGAGTTTTTATTACTTCAAATTTATTTTTAGCCTCCCACAGATTTTTAAAAGCTAAATATTTCCTTGTATTAATACATTTTTTTTTTAAATCTAAAAATATCTGAACTAACAGAAGTAAAAGATTGTGAAAAGAATGTTTTGCAAATTTAAATTCTTTATTTATGACTAGTAAATCTTCTTTATTTAGGGTTCTTTACTCACATACTTATTGATGAAGCCGCTCAAGCAATGGAATGTGAAGCTATAATGCCTTTGTCACTGGCTGATGAAGATACCAGAATTGTCCTTGCTGGAGATCATATGCAGGTTGATATTGAATTGTTTTAGGCAATCAATCCTTTGAAAGTTGTATAAATTTCTTATTCTGTTCTATTGAGCGTAAAAGGTTGTGCTTGTTGTTCTTTTTTTTTTAAAAATTAAACTGCTTCTAAAATGGTACTTTATAATGTGTTCAGTCTATAACTAATTTTTTCGTTATGTGTCGTTTGAAAAATCTTTTTGTTTTTAAGTTTATTAAGTAATTATTCTTGTCTAGATTTCTCATTTTAAGCTCACCTTCAGTTAAGACTTTTGTGCTTACCATGAGTATGAGATCTCTTATTTAAAATTATATTCGCTAACCCTTTTTGAACTGTCCTTTTTTGGTATTAGGTTTGCAGTAGACTTATTACGGGAGTTTAAATTTTTGAGAAATTTTTCAAATTGCAATGGGTTGAAACATTTTAATAATATCTATCAATTTTAAATAATTAGCATAAAGTTTACATTATGCAAATTTTCATTAAATTCGAAGAAAAAAAAAACTTTCTGGAAGTTAAGCTTGCATTTTTCTTCAAACAAGTGATAAGTAAAATTTGATACATAATCTACTATAAGATTTGTTGTATTTAAATAAATTTGTAGCAAAGTTATGTGTAATAGTAATACTCATTGCTCTGTGTAATAATAAGTGGACTATGCCTGATAATATCAATTAAACATAAGATTAAATTTTAACAAGTCTGAAATGTGTTATTAAAAGAAAAAAAATTTCAAAATAATTTGCTTTTCATTTGTCATTTAGATGCAAACTATTAAATAAATTTAATTTCTGAGTATACCGCACAAATGTTATTTTTAAAACATATGTTGTAATTTAAACATCAAACAAATTTTGAATATCTTTTAAACATTTTGAATTATGCAGCAAAATGTTTACTAAAATAGTACTTGAAAGAATGAAAAATGCGCTTGACAAAATCTTTCAAGCCAGGTTTTAGAACTTGTGTTGATCACATTGCAACATTTTGTGGAAAAATCTATTGAATGGCTATCAACAATGTACTTAAATTTCATAGATTTTGAAAAAGTTTTCGATAGTTTACACTGAAAGCTGTTGAAGTACTATGGAATTCCTAAACATCAGAAATATCTATAAAAATTGCCATATATAAGTAATCCATGCCAGTTAGCAACCAGATTCCTTCAAGGTTGATTTAGGTGTTAGACAGAGTTTTTGCCAACAATCTTTTTGCTTGCTATGGGCAGAATTATGTATAGTGTATCAGAACAAAAAGTGATATAAAGTGAACCCTTGCTGCATATTTTTCTTATCTTGATATCGCTGTTGACTAATGTTTACTGCAAACAAACCCTTCAAGATTTGCAAACAAACTTTTTAAACGTTGACAACAAAAATGGTGTCTATTAACAATCAAAATAAAACTAAAATTTTGTAAATTAATCCAAACCAATAAAATTGCATGTTCTTAGAAAATATCACATTAGAAGAGGTTAACAGTTTTATTTATCTTTGAAGTATAATTAACAATGAAGAAAGAATTCTTGATATATTAAATTGGTTAAACAAGCTCCAAAGTATTCTCAATAAATTTATCTTGTTCGGATGCTGCCGTTGGGCTGTGAACCCTTCGCGCAAAGTGTTTCACAAATTTGTTTATTAATTGTGACCTATATTGCAATCTTAAATTGGTTAACATTCTTTTTAAAAAATATGTATATATCTTCAGATATATGAGCTTTCTTTTTTATTTAAAAAAAAAAAAACTAAAGTAATAAAAAACAGTTTTCAATTTTCCTTACTTATTAAACTGAACTGTACCTAAAACTGCTTTCAAAATAAAGATTTACTGCTTTAAAGTTTAGATGTAAGTACTTTTATGACACTATGTATTTTTTATATTTTAGAGTTTCAACTTTGAAAATTAAACTTATGATCCAAATATGATCTTTCATAAGAAATTAATTTTTTCTTTCTTTTTAAGGCAAAATATTTTTCTCAATTGTAAATGTAACATTTTTATTATTACATAACCATGTTATTCAAATTAAAGTCTAAAAATAAAATTTCTGAAATCATAACAAAAAATACTGGTTGTTCCACAAATAATTTAAAAATTTAATGTGATTTTTTCTCAGTTGTAATTTTCTTTCCAATTTTAGCTTTGCCCTGAAGTGTATTCACCTTTTGCGCAAGAGCGCAATCTTCACATGTCACTCTTAGAGAGGCTATATGACTTGTATCCTGAACAATTTCCATGTAAAGTGCTTCTTTGTGAAAATTACAGATCTCATGAGGCAATAGTACAGTATACATCTGAGCTTTTTTATAATAACCATCTGCAGGCTAGTGGTCAGCAGCCAAGGCATGAGAAGTTTTATCCTTTGACTTTTTTTACTGCTAGAGGAGAAGATGTTCAAGATTGTAACAGTACTGCATTTCATAATAACGCAGAGGTACTATTTATTTAAAAAATAATTCATGTTATAATAATTTTTTAAAGAATGCTTTTTTAGCTTTAACATATTTTGGTTGAAGTATATTAAGTAAAAAATTATAGCTTTATTGATTTGGATAAAAATGTATTTTATTTGTCCTTAAAAATGGTAATATAGTGGAAAGTTCTATTTCCAAAATTTTTGGGGCTGTGCAAGTTTAGAAAATAGATTTTTCTGGATAATATGTTAAGATAAACGTATACTAAATATGTAATATAAAAAAAATAATAATAAATGAATTCTAATTAACATCAATGTTTAGTATTATAAAATGTCACTTATAAATATATATATATATACAAACGTTGAAATACTTATCAATACTATTTCAACTTATCTAATGAGTTCTGTTTACTTGCAGCTTATGCGCAATAAATGAAACTTATTGTTTTTCTTAATTTTCTTCATGTTTTTTTGTATTTATTTTGTTATATATATATAAAGTTGAAGAAGCAGTTAACTTTTTCTTTCATGAACGCACAGATACTCAGATAATACTATCATAGATATCAAGTTAAGCAAACAAATACAATTAATATATTAGGTAATTTTAGAGTGATCACTAAATGTTACAGTTATAAATATTTTGCTGTACTTTAAAAAGAAATAAAACTCTTATCTTCATTTGTGTGCCCACTTTCTCCTCTTACAATCTCCCTCTCAATCTCTTTCCTAGTCTATCTGTCTGCCCCTGCTTCAAAAGCTTCCACCAAAACACTCCTCTGCCTTCTTGTTTGCTAAATATCTTAACTAAATATTGGCAGACAAATACTGCTTATTTTTTCAATAAAGAGGCCATCTCAAACAGACAGCCAAGGCAGAAAGAGCAGCGCGAATATTCAGATAAAAATAACATTAACAGATAAAAACAAGCTTCTAATCCTAAAAACAAATCATTCCTATGTTATAAAAAGAATATGAAACTAGAAACAGGATTGAATAGATGAAAACCTTTTGTTCAATGAAAACCTTTATATCAAAACAAAGCCTGTATAGTGGTGTTTCGTTCAAGCATAAATTTTCAGCTTCTTGAATTTCCATAATTTATACCTCTTGAAGTATATTTTTCTTTAACTGTTCTTGTCTTCAAGTGTGTGCATTAAAGCCGCATAAATGTTAACTTTGCTAAAAACAGAATAGGAAATAATATTTTTTCCTTCTGGTATAATGAGATTTTGCGACAGACCGTGAAAGATTTCCAATAACAGATCAACAGATGTTTTTAAAAAAAGGGAAAATTTATAATTAGAAAAATTAAAAAGATTCATTTTGATTGTTTAAAAACGTCTGAAAACACAGACCTTTCCAGAAAAACACTCCAGATATAGGACTTTGTTCTATATTAATAAAGCTAGTTTGAAGTGAAAATATTTTTAAGCTTTTTAGTGTTAGGCATTAGAAAAAGTTAAAAGTGTATACAGATATTAGAAGAGCAAATAAATAAAACAAATCTAAAAAATTCGTTGCTACATTGCATTAGGTGGGGTGTAAAATAATAAACATTTGGTCACCAAAATCATACAGTTGTCAATGTTTGAAAACTTTAAAAAAAAAGAAAGCATTGAGTTTTAGCACATTAATGCTAAATTTACAATGTATATTTGAAGAATTTATGTATATTTGCTGGCATTATAGTGTAAGAATGAGTCGTAGCATAGCTGAATTATGCAACTTGATTTAACTGAACTGATTTATTATTTTCAATCTGTTCATAGCCCAACAAATCAAGTATTTTCCCTGAATGAATTTCCTTTTTAAATGACGGTTATTCAGTGTTAGGCATATACTATCGTCAAATCTTATTAACATTTACATCATTAACATCATTGAAGATAAACTACATTTTCCTCTTAGAAAATGTTTTTTTATTTTAGAGACTTTTAATAATTCTCCTATTAACAATTCCATATTTTTTTTAAAAATTTTTGAGTCATTTTTCTGAAGATTTAAATGATATTTGTGGAGTGATCACTTTTTCACAAGCCCAAATTTACATGTCTGTATCGTTGTAACTTGCACTGCCTTACTCAAACTTTTTAAAATTTCATGTTATATGTGCATTTTATTCTCAGAAATGTTAATTTATTTTTCCTACAAATGCGGCTAACAAAAACTTTACAGAAATCTATGTTTTGAATAGCCTGTATTGTGTGATGGTTATTTATTTATGTTTTTTTACTGCTATGCCATTGTTCAACAATTTCTTGTTTTAAAGGAAATCAGTTTCACATTCCCCACCAACAAGTATTTCATAAATTTCCTTGGCATTGCCAAAATTCAAATCATCAAACTCCCTTTCATCCTCAATTAACGCAAACACTTTGCAAATAGATTCATGTTTCATTAATATATTAATTACCTTAAACTTAATTTAGCTTCTGTAAAATCAGTTTTTTTTTAATCAAAAATTCATTCATTATTCAACATCCACACAATGTTTAAAATAATAATGTGTTGTGATATTATTATTTTAAAGTCAATGATGTTCTAAAAGATTTTTAACAAATTTAATTTTAATAATTTATTAATTTCATTAACAACACTTTTCAACATAAATAGCATTTTCATTACTTATGCGCTAAAAGTTGTACAAATATTCTCTTGCTAATTTAAACGAAAACTCTATGTTTAAAAATTGTACGAATACACAATTAAACGCAAAGTATGTGCTCAAATTCAATTTCAAATATTTTTAAATGCAAAAATCCCTTTCCAGTAAATTTAAAATCTCAACAAAAATTTAAATTATTTGACTTCAGAAAAAAAAAATTTGTTAGCCAAGGTTTCATTTTGTTTTAAAAATGTCCTTTTTTATTTTTATAAACTTTTTGTAATTTATCAGCTAATCTTCAAGAAGCTGTGCATTTTTTATCAGTTCTAATGCCTGTAAAATTTCAATTGAATTCTAAAAGTTTTGCTTGGGACTGTTGACTTGTTAGATCTTCCAATCTATACTAAGATTTTTTGAGATCTAAAATTAAAGAGTTAAATCTTTGAACATGTTAAATGTATTTAAACAGCAAACTATATCATAATTTTAATCTATGTTCAAATTTAAGACTCTATTTTCGATTATTATGTTAATGATAAAAATTTTAGCCTAGCACTGTTGAGTTTTATTATTAGGAACAGTAGTTTTGCTGTATTTTAATAAAAACAATTAAAACATCAAATACTAAAATTAATTTTTTATTATAGTAACAATTGTACAAAAACACTATTTTATACAGAATTGTATTTTCATTACTAATTTTAGGTTTAATGAATCAGCTATTTTCCAAATTTAAATTTTTTCTAATTATGTTCATTGTTCAATTGATCTTTTTATTGCTATTTTATTAATCTATTTATGCCTTGATCAAAATTTTTAAATATATTTTATAATATCAATGTTATGAAATCAAATGGACAATTAATTCATTTAAAAGAAATCTTACCTAATGAAAAACTAAAATCTTAAAAATTCGGGAAGGAAGCAATACATGGTGCTTAGAAACATCTAAGACAATGTTCTATTCTAAAGGGAAAAAATATTCATTAAAGTTATTGATTCATTAAGGTCTGTTATTGATTCTAAATACAAATCAATAACCGACTTAACATTTTGCTTGACATTACAAAAAGTTACCTTGAAGTGTGGCTTGAAAATAAAAGAAGAAACAAACCAACAACTGAAATGAACATCAACAAAATGCTTTATATATGCTGCTAACACAAATTTAAAAGAATAAAATGTTTATGACTTGAAAATAAAAAGGCTGCATTACAAACAGAATGCCCGATATATGCTGTTTAGAAGAACAAAATATTTAAAAATAACTTGTCAGCTTATACATTTTTTTTAATTTGTCTTTGAAAAAAGACTATACCATGCACGTTAATAGGTTTAAATTTTTAAAAAAAAATTCTTGTGATTGAATATTAATTGAAAATGCAAATCTATTGTTTGATACTTGCCATGATTGAAATTATCATATTGAAAAATTGGTTTATTAGAATATTTACCAAATTTATAGGTATATGAACTTATTGAGCGGGTAAGTGAACTTAAAAACAACTGGCCTGCTGAATGGGGTATTCAAGATGAGTCTAGTATTGGTGTTGTGACTCCTTATTATGACCAGGTTTGTGTGATTTTTATTTTCCTATTTAGAATTATGACTCTGAAATTCTACGTAACAATAATGAAATTTATCATAGGTTGTTAGAATTAGAGCTGAATTAAGAAAAAAGAAGATGCATGGTGTGTCTGTAGAACGAGTACTGAATGTTCAAGGTAAATTTTAGTTTCTTAAATTTATATTTGCTGCAGAGTTGATAGATGAATTAAACAATTGGTTGCTAAGTGATATAGCTAAATTAGATGAGTTTTTAGTTATAAATTTGTTACTTTAAATAAGAAAAATTGTTATCAGAGAGACATTTATAAACTGTCTGCATACAATCCAAAGTATCTGCGAACTCCTTAATAACAGAATAATTTTTTCTCCCAAAACGGCAAAGCATTAAACGTTCTAATGCATGCTTCCTATTTTCATTTAAAAATCTATCTAGGAAATATTTCCTTTAGAATATATCTTTTCAAGAAATATTTACTATTACAAATGTAATTTTTTTCCATAACATGTATGTAACATAAAACAGCTTTAAATAATCTTTTTATGTTATTTTTTTCTCTAAATTCTCCTTCTTAGTTTACTATTCAAAATTTAATGCTTTCACACACTTCATTATTCACATCCAGCATTTGGTTTTATTTTTATATTCAGGAATTAACACTTAAGTTTTTCCCTTTACTAAGAGTGAAAACCATATTATACCCTTGACCTATTTAATGGACCAATTGTAATTACTAATATTTTCCTCTTTCCATAAGACATAATATATTATTGGGCAGAGATGGGCATGCAGAATAATGAATAAAGATTTATTTATTAGTCGGAAATATTTTAAATAAAGAATAAATCAGTCATTATTCTTTATTCATTAGTTGAGAATAAGTGAATAATTTCACTGCTCAACAGAAATGAGCACAGAAAAATATAATTGACTAAGATTGTGACAACTACAAATAAAAAGTACATAGTAATAAACTATTTGTAGTCATTTTTATAAGTTATGAGTAATGATTTCAGATAAAAAGTGATTATGATTCCCTGTAATCATAATCGCGAACAAGACGCGATTACTGGTATATGATCACAAATGACCAAAATCTTTTATTTTAAGCAACCAATATGTACTATTATAAACAGTTATTTTTACCAGCAATCATAATCTAACTATTACAAGTAATTTTGAATCTGAATAATTGTAAAAATGGTTACTACACGACAACATAAATGTGTTGTACATAATTGCACACTTAACTATGCTGTATGTTTATGTGTATATCTACACGAACGAGCACTGTATATTAATGCTTACATAAATAAGTAAAATAAAGTTGAGTGTTTACATACTTTGTTGTAGTAAATCCGTAGTTAAGTACATTGTAAGAACAAGTGTACGTATTATGTGTACATGCATAATAAGTAGTACATGCAATGTATGTTAGTTTACATCTATGCACGTGTCATCATCATTAATGGCTCGACAGCCCAGGGTGGGCCTTGGCCTTCTCAAGAAGTTTTCTCCGGGCTAACATATCAATCATTATTCAAAAATTTTGCATATGAATAATCATTCAGAATAAATTTATTCTGACTAAATTTTGTTATGAATAAAAAAGTTTGTAAGTGAAACTCATCACTGTTATAGGGACAAACTTTTTACTTTCCCTAAGATAAAAACTCGCAAACATTGATTTTGAAGTGCGATTCAAAGCTCTGTTAATTCTTCAAAATGTTTTAATAAATAGTGTTTTCGAGTCATACTCCTCTGCCTGTTTTTCCTGCATTCCAGAACATTTGACCTGGCTACTACCATCACATATATATATTCATGGTGCATAGCATTTTTAAAGAGTGCTTAAAGTTGCTCGTTCGAAGTTCGGTCAAAACTGGGAAGTGGTTAAGGCGGAGTTAAGTTTTTGACATCAAAAACTGATTTTTAAAATAAAACATCAAAAAACTGATCTGACAAAAACTTTGAAAAACTCTGAATAAGTTTGTATTCTGTCATTGAGGACATTTTATTAATTTAATAACTGTTTATTAACAGTTTGAATCATACACAATTTTTGCATTATAATTACTATAACTATGATTCATATTATACATAATAAAAATTAATGCCATCATTATTAAGACTGATAACTTTTTCAAAACATTTGGTACTATTTATACTTTATGATCATTATTAGTGTATATATTAATATATATTTATTCTATTTATATCAGTAACAATAGCTAGGAGTTTTTTAATGTTATGAATCTAATTTCGGATTTTAATATTGTTTTTAATGATTGTCCTGATTGAGGCGGATTTTTAGCTGAATAAAACAAAAGTAGTCGCAGATTGTCTGACCTTATCTTGTGATATTCTTTTTGATTCTCAAAATTTCTTGTTAACGTTTATATGTATTAAGTGAATATAAAATAACTTTAGGAGCATATGACCTTCTGGTGAATATACTGTACGAGTGAATGGTATAAAACTTTGTATGTGGGTATTATGATCTATGATCCAAATGTACTACCCTAACCCCGCTGTCTCTTGCCAACCCTGATTGTAGGACTCATTTCTTTAATGGAATAAAGATTCACTTCTAATTTCACATTCACTTCTAGATTTTTCTTATTAATTTTTGTCTTACAAGTAAGTTATAAAAAATGTTTTAATGACTAATTTCTTTGTTTAAACATCAAAGACATTTTTAACATTTACAAAGACATTAAACATTTGATTAAATCAATTTCACAGACCAATGTATAAATTAATGTTATACATTTATGAATTTCCAGATTCAAAAGAGAATGTATGTGAAAAAATATTTATCTAGGATTATATCTTTTAAGATGAAATTATTTTTCCAGGAAAACAGTTTAGAGTCATATTTCTAAGTGTAGTCCGAACACGTCAAACTTGTGGATCAAAAGCAAAACCAGAGTCCGATTTAGATCATGGTTTTTTATCGAATGCTCGACTACTCAACACTGCCATTACAAGAGCTCAATCACTTGTGTGTGTTGTTGGTGATCCTGTGTCTTTATGTTCTGTTGGAAAATGCAGGTAATTTTTTCCTATCCTTTTCTATCATAAACATTTTCTAAATATTAAGGATTTCAGGCTGAGTAAAAAACATCTACTTCTGCTTATCAAAATTTTTAAACTAAACAGTTATAAAACACTTTCTGAACTTATGTAAACTTAAACTAAGTACACAAACAATTGTAAGAATCTAAATAAATTAACACAATGGGTTTATACCATAAACAAAATAATGAATCAAATCCCATTTGCCAGCTACTTAAATTATTCTTTTAAATTACTCTTAAATTATTAGGAGGTGTTTAAATCTTAAGAAAACTGCTTCATCAAACCTAACATAATTTGCAAATGCTAATTTGATTATTTGTCACTATGGACTAAAATGGCCCTGTTAGGCCATTCTGGTGTAAAATAGGCATAGCAGATATGGTAAATTAACCCTTTTAATGCATTTTCTAACATTTGGCCAAAATATCGAAAGAAAAAAAAAGGTCCCTGTCTGGGAGAGTTACAAGTTAAGGCATCAAAATTAATTGAAAATTTCAGCTCTTATCCTAACTAGGACAGTAGGTTGAATGTTCATGTTTTGAGGTAACTGAAAAATTGTTGCTTACATATGAGAAGCACACAAGCATTTAGTTGAAGTAGAGCCAGTTTTATTTAACGTAGTTTTTATGTAAAAATCTGCATAAAACATACTAAGGGAAGACAAAATAGCTAATATCTTTTGTGAAATTTAAGTGCTAAATGCAATAGAAAATGTAATGCCTCTTAAAAATGCATTTAAATTGTTAATTTTTCTCTACTTGTCAATTATAATGCCATTTCGGTCCCTAATGGCTATAATTTGAATTTTCTATTTAAATTAAATTTTCATTGTCTAAATAGTATCGATTGCAAATTAGGTTGAGTTTCGTCAAATGGTTTTCTTTCTTTTAAGCTGCAGAATTATTTTGCTGAAAAAGTGACCTAAATTGTATCGAAACAGTCAACAATTTAAATATTTAGTTCGCAAATTCATGTAGCAAGATAAAGTAGTGAACGTATATTTGAAATGTGAAATGAAAGATTTAGAAATCCAAAAAATGTAAGAATATTGTGCAGCGTTGCATTGTTTTATTGTTGTCTGACAGTTATATATCTATTATAATTTGTTAATTAAGCTATTATTTCTAGGAAATTGTGGGAAAAATTCATACTTACTTGTCATAAAGAAACCAGTCTCTTTGGAATAACGTGGGACTCTTTACGATCACAATTAGATAGCATGGAGTTGAAGAAAAATTTCATTTTAAATCCCCTGGCACCAGAATTCATTCCTGGTCGAGTTTACCATGGATTCCCTGTTACTACTGCTGCCACCAGTGAGAACTTTTACACTAACAATCCACCTCCTCAACCTTTTTTTGTTTTTTCTGCTCTACCCTCTCCATTTCAGGGCCCTCCTCTAATACAACCTGCTGTTGCTATGGTATCGGCACCTCATCCTTATGGTATGCTAAATAATGTTCCAAACTGTGTTGTACCTCCTATGATTCCTCCTGCACAATTAAATCCTTTTCAAAATTATCCTTTTAATTCACCATCTTTACCTTCTCCTTTGCCACAACAACGCCCTGCAAATATTCCGAATCGTATTCAAACGGCTCCCTTCCCACGAAAGATAATCAATCAAAGAAATCCGCCATTGTTAGAACATCCTATGAAGGACTTTGACCATGGTTTTGGTTTAGGAAGACCCATCAAAAGAAGTGAGCCTCAAGTCCCGTTCCAAGTGGCTAATAAGCCAATAACCAGAGGTCCAGAAGATAATAATCAAGAAAATTTTGAAGAAATGAAGCGTCACCTTTTAAATAATGTTGACCGCCATGTCAATGGCTTCCAAATGAAATCCACCGAACTGGAAAATTCGGTCACTTTACAAAATTACCCCAACAATTATTTTGAGAAAGGAAATAAATTTTCAAAGTCTGAAGAAATTCCTAATGTTCCTTTAAGAAATGGTTTTTGTGGAGATGAATTAAACATGGGTTTATTTGCTGATCCTTCACGAAAAATTCAAATGAATGGTGTATGGGCTCCTCCCAAGATGCGTTCAGAATCTGATTTGCACAACAACTCGGTCAATTCATTTGAGGAACATCATATGAGGATGCCGTTCAATGACATGAATGGTATGGCCAGTGAAAAAGAGCGTTTCATGTTCGAGCCTCCAAATGCACACATGTATGTGCCCCCTCCGCCACCAGATAAATGGCCCAATGCTACTGAGCCTCTCCAAAGCACAAATTCAGCTGATCTTCCTGCTTTCAATATACCTATGGTCCAAACATCTCTTCTTGAAAAATTAGGACTTTTGCAGAAATTTTTGCCTCCTGGAACAAACATTCCAGCGTTTTTAGATAATGATGAGCAGATAAAAGCTTATATACAGAATTTGGTGGTTTCTGAGGGTTCTCAAGCTGCAAAAGCTTTTGTAGTTTTGCTTCTATACATTAAAAGAGACCAAGAAGCTCTTCAAGAGGTATACCAGAGAAAAATGAGAAATGCCCGGTTCCAGTCACCTTCTCATAATATTCCAGAAACACCAACTCCTGTTGCTAGAAATATTCCCTGTTATTCATCACCAAGACCAGTATTCAATAATATATCTAGGCCACAAGAAAGTTTCAATAATTCTGAATCATTAAATTCAGAAGTTCCTTTTAACCCTTTCTCAATGCCTCATATATTTTCCCTAGATAAGTTAGATGCAACCTTCAACAATAGTGACAGAAATAAACAGGAAGTTCAAAAACCTCATTCAAATATGGGCAATTTTGTTTATCCTTGGGTGTCTGAAAATATGAATGGAAGCTGCCAAAATGATCCACCAGTTTATGAGATGTCAAAATTATCTGTGAGGAGTCCGGTTCAAAATAAAATTCCCAATGGGGATTTACAAGAGGATGCATTTTCTTCAAGTGCATACCACAATAGGCATTTTGGAGGAGAAGCTACAGAAGAAAATTTGCGGCATATTTTTGGTACACCAGATGCACCACCAATAAATTCTTTCAATGAAACAAATAATGATTCAAGGGGGGCTCTGATGTGTTCTTTTCCTGATGGTGGAAATCAGCAAAATTCATATTTAAATCGTCTCCGAAATCTACCACCAACTTACAATTCCAACAATTATGAATTAGATTTTGCAAGAATAGATGATGGGTTGGTTTCTAAAAGTTCAGAATACTCAGGTGTGATGACAGCTGGTCCGTTATCTGTATCCTACCCAGATATTCCTGATCTTCTCTCTCATATTTGTCCCAATAGTAAAGATACATCCAAAGTTATTCGAAAACCCACCCCTAGAACATCTGAAAGCTCTTCTAGTCCTTTTGTCTATGGCATCAATTTACAACCTAATAATGATTCGTCATTGCGTTATCCACAAATATCTTCAGAAGGTATGACATACGCTAAAATATTGAGTTCCCCTCAACAATGACACTGTGTAGTTTAGCTCATTTGAAAAATGTTCTATTTACATAATATATATATATACATGAAGCAGTGCATTAATATAATGGAAGAACAAAATGTTTTACCAAGATTGTAATTTTAAATCTTTAATCGTTTAATATTTTCATCAAATTGATGTGATGTGTAGATGAATGTATACTTACTTGTGTATATTAGTATCACTTTGTGATTAACTGTACATAGTTCATTGTGTTTTCTATCCATTAAATTTCATTTGTGCAATATGTATTCTGTTTTATTCTCTACATACATCACAATGATGAATTTATATCAATAAAATCTTGAAAAAAAATCAGCACTTTGTTTCAATTTAGCAACTTTTCTTCAGCACGAAATATCAAAACTTCTCATATTTTCTGCACGAAATATGCCAGGGATTTAGTAAATCATTCATTTTGTTTTCAGATATGTAGTTTAAATGCTGAAAATAATCTTAACTTTAAATTTTAGACAGCCCATTTTCACAATTTTTAAGGATATACCTCAAAATACTATTTATTTTTATTACTTAGTTTTCTTTAGATGCAATTTTTTTCTTCAAGTTAATATGAAATTAATATTAAGTTAGATACAGTGAAACTTCTCGGGAGCGACCACTCCATTCTACAGTAAAATGGTCGATGGAGGTTGATCGTTCTTCGAGGTTACCTCCATTGACTTAAAAATTGTTATCAAAGGTATATGATTTTTTTAAAACGATTTTAAATTTTGTCAGTGTCATTTTCTCTGTGTGGAAAGGCCAATTCTGTTGGCATCATAAGATGGATCGATAAAATTTAACGTCTCTAAAAATGGTCCTAACTGATATAATTCTGTGTAAAAACAAATTTTCCAATGATGAATAATAAACCTATTTTAATAATGTAAACAATTATGTTTTTTGTTTAAGTTTGCATTTATTTTATATCATATTAGCTTTAAAAGAGAAGAAAAGTATAGCATTGTCTTTAATGCACTCTGACTGACTGCAACGTGTTGTATTGTCTTAAAGAGCTCTCTGAATAAGAGCCTAACACAAATATTTTAAATACATTTTAATCTACTTATTTCTTATGTTAAATTTTATGTTTTGATTTTTTTTTTTGTTTCTTTATTTGACCTTTTCCACGTTTGATGCAAATGTTTGCCCCTCCACTGGGAGATGTTTTAATGGTCCAAAAGTGGTCATAAATTCTTGGAGGTTTCACTGTAGTCTATAATATAGCTCAGAGGTTCTTAAACTGTGTTGCAGGAAGCATTTAGAGCTGGCCAAAACATTTTCTAGTGTTTCCCAAGTTGATAGGACATTTTTGAATTGTAAAGAAAGTATTAAATAAATTTTAAAATTAAAAATACTTTTATTTTTTCCATTAGTAAGAAAATATATTAACATTGTTTGTGCTCTCAGCTTGGAAGAAAAAAAAATTATAAAATATTTTTCACCATCAAGGTGAAACACTGATTATATAACATGAAAGTTTTTAGTATCTCAGTTGCTCATAAGATCTGTCACATAACAAGTTCACGTCAAAAATAAAGGTATTCTTGTGTCAGGTGTCAAACAAATTCCAACTGTGCATAAACAATGCCTCATTAAATTAGTATTCAGCTAAATTAAGATTTGTTTCCATGTGTGTGAGGGTGGAATGTTGCAATCAAAATTTTGACACTTTCTGACTTAACTAGAGGACTGAAATCTCTACTGATATTGAATATGAGAAGGCAATGTATTTGTTTCAATCGCTTTCTGATACCAACTAGCTGGAATACATTAATTTCAACAGTAGCTTTGTGCTGTATAACTTTCTTTTCTTCCAGACGTGGACACGTACCTAGATTTGCAAAACCCTTAACCGTATAGTCCACGTCTGACTACCTTCTAGCCAATAATACATAATTGGAGAAAAAATTTTAATGATTAGTTAATAGAATGAATTAAACAAAAGCCTAAAACAAAATTAAAACTAATGTTAATTTAGGAAGATAAAGGGGAAAATATATAAATTTAAAAAAAAAAAGAATTAAAATTAAGCGTATGAAAACTAGTAGGGTGCAATTTTGATTATCAGGTTACTAAATAGAAAATGTCAAAGAGAATACAGAAAAACACTGAGTGTAAAGAACTTAAAAAATTAAATATTTAAAATTTTCGGCCTGAGCGGAGTTCCCTTAATCTGTAGAGGTAGTATGGTTGCAGTCGTATGTTCCGTTGTTTATCAGTTTATGCAAAACTCTTCCTCGGTGGAGCACTGTTCATACGTGTGATTGTCTGTGCCACATCGTTCACAAGTACAGTTGTAGGAGCATTGACTTTGATGGTGCCCGATGCCTTGGCAGTTGCGGCATCTTAGATGGACCAGTCTTTTTTTAAAAGAAAAATTTGTTGATTCCCGCATAGAAGATGTGTTGTTGAGAGAGACGATGATTCACACGTATAACGGTGTGCTGTTTATCATGTTTTCTGTGAGGAATTATTTTTAGAGGTTTTATGATGTCATGGTTTTCATTATAGCGGCCATTTATCTTCATAATATTTATAATTTCCTCTGTTGAGAAATTGGTGGGAGTGTTCAAGGCAACCTTCTCACATCACTGATCTTACGATCAGTGATGTGAGCTTAGTTTCCTTGTCTTTGAACTTAAGACCTGTTTCCTTAATGGTCGTAATCAAGAGAGAAACTAGCGTACTTCTTTCTTCTATGACTCTCCACACGCTTAAGATGAAAGCATGCGAAGTGCTGCCATAGGTAAAGAGTTCTGCTCTACTCCACCTGTAGCCCATTTCGATCGCCAATAAAAGTTAGAATCGTTTCCTGAAAGTTACAAACATCGAATATATTTGTCAAAATTTCGACCACACTTTTACTATTTAGGGCAGTTAAATTTCAACTGGTACTCTGTACTTGAACAGTTTCAATACTTTCCTCATCCCTATTTACATCATTAACAAATATTTTGACAGTTTTCAGACTAGCTAGAGTGTTCATATCCTTAATTCGTCTTTTAAAAGACGTGATTTCTTATTCAAATGATAAAAAAATTAGCTGAACATCACTGTTTCAAATTCTAATTACTTATCATGAAAATATTGGTTTTTCGTGAGGATTAAGAAACAATGTTGATTTGTCTTTGGTTGCAGCTCAGGCTTTGGGTAAACACTCGATAATTGATGTAATAGAAACGGGGGCTGCAACTTCTGGCCCCAAAAACTTTTTAGGGCAGGGAATCCAAAGTTTAAAGGAATCGAACTGAGTTTTGTAATTTTTTGAAAGATATAGAACTTTGCATTCGATATTATGGATTAGATTCAATGTACCCATCATTTCCAATTGTTGGATAAATTTTTATAATTGCCCGCTCCAAATTTTTTGCTGTAACCACTTCTATGAAATAAACTTTTTTGAGAGTACAGACGCAGTAATGCAACAAGCTTATGAAGACAGATTGTTTCTGTTTTTTTTTTTTTAAAGTTACATACCATTCCTACAAAATTTTTTTGCTTTTAAAGGTCACTGCTTAACTGTCGTAACTGTCTGTTAATGGAAAGAAAAACATTAATGATCGTTAATGTTTTTCTTTCCATTCGCAATTCCATTTAATTATAATAACGGAATCCTTGCATCGATAATTTTTTTTCTATCTACTCTTGTGTTTTAAATTTGATTAATTTTAGCATTGTTTGCTTTATTTTTTTAATTAGTTAAAAAAATCCAATTTTTTTTTTTTTCTTTTAGTTGCAAACAACATGAATTTCACATCTTCGTAAATTAGCAAAAAATTAATTTCTATCCATAAAAATGTCTTCTAAAAATAAGTTAAATATTGGTTTTTCGTGAGGAAAGTTAACGAGGAGTTCGGAAAATTTAACATGCTCGTCGCGTTAAAAGCTAATTTGTCATACCATACTTTTTCCAAATTTATTGTATATACAATCATTGCTAGATGGCAGAACCAGTATCAAAATCGGTTGTTTCGTACACTTATTGATTGTAATTGATAATTAAGGTCAGCTTTTATACCATAATTTTGTCTGCTAATATGCTTTTTTTTAATGTTAAGTGAGAAATAATAAAAAGAAGAATCACTGTGGAATTCCGCAGTGGTTCAACCCAACCACAACCCAAGTAGCACTCAATATCGAATGATCTCGAAAAAACTTCGCTTACGACTTCGATCGATGTTGTTGCGAAGCATCGATCTATGTAAAAACGTCCAGATTTTTTTTATATGGTACGACATTGTGAAATTTGATATAGATCGATATCTCAATAACGCCGTAGAATGTCGAGTTTGAAAAAACCATATTCCACGGCGTTTACAGATACAGTAGAACNTAACTTGCTCACAGTATCTATATTCCTCCGCTTTCAAAATATTGATAGGAACGGCCACGGTATAGATCGATGTTTCTGTGCTACTTGGGTATTGCAGGATAGAGGTAAATTTGTGTTAATTATTTTATAAGGTTTTGCACTTCAGATTTTATTTAGCTAATTGTACTCCCAATTTTTCAACAAAAAATAAGCACTCAAAAATATTTTTAATCAGTTTCCATATATATATATATATAATTAGGATTAGCTCAGTAATTAATTTAAAAATTAAGTGAAATTAGGTGAATAGGAATAAGTGTGAGCACTG